TCACAAGAAGAATCTCTGATGGACTAGGGGGTATTTCTTGACGGGACCACGGGTTGCTGTGTGCGTGACTTGTACACCCATTAATTTACGCAAAGTCTAGTGTCAGCGAGTTATGACCTACTGCACATGGAAACTGACTACATCTCCCTTTAACTCTTATCGTGCCACAGGGCTAATCCCCATTGTGCCAAGCCCCAAACCCCCCCCCCCCCCCCCCCCCCCCCCCCCCCCGTTGCCAGGTTGTTTTGGAGATAATCTGATTAACGCAATGGTTCTATGAATAGCGGTCCAATAAGCATGAACAATAACTGCTATTACGAATGCGCCCTTGCAATCACATGGCAGTGTATCAATGGTTAGCTTGCGTGTACAAAGCACTATAACGGTAGCGTGCATGCAGCCTCATGGCATGCTATGAGTTAACCCCTTACTAGCTCTAAACAGATGACATCTCCTTTTTTATCTGTACATTTACCTAGCATTTCAGTGAGTCCATTGTCCAAGAGCACAGAGAGATTGTCTGACTCTCCTTCCTGTGTAGAAACTGCAATGTGTTTGATGACCAACACCATGATTTCAACCTGCCAGAACCTCTGGCATGGCAGTTGCTACAACAAATAGAAAGCAACAAAAGCATTAGGTCAAATAAAACAAAACATGTTTAGCGACCTGTTTTTTCAAAAAATAGGGAGGAGGCCCTTTTTTTTTTTTTCAAAATGGCCGCTAGGTACATTTTCCCTGACAGTCGGGCTATTTATCAAGATGGCTGCCGATGTTTTTTTTCTTCTTTTTTAAAATAAGAAATAGAACCATTTTAGCAGTGTTTTTCAAGTTTTTTTCTTTCAAAAAAAATAAAAAAATAGGAGGCGGCCCCCAAAAAGGAAGCGGGCGGGGACGCTAAACATGTATATTTTTTTTAATGGCCTTATTCAGAAAGAGTTGAGGATTCAAAAGCCATCTGAGATAATTTACTTCTGCCATGCACAACCTCTGGTTGCTGCAACGAAATTGAGAAAACCTAGCATTCTTCAGCAAATCATCAGCACAACTATCTTTGTTCATAAACTGTTACCAGAACACGCCAGAAATATTGGCATGGCAGTTGCTACAACTACTAAAAAGAAGCAATAGCACAATCTAATGATCATCAATGCAATATGGATCAAACACTATACCTTATTTTAACTCCTAACCCTAAGCTTAACATTAAACACAACTCTAACCCTAACTCTAACCCTAACCCTATATCTGTGATTAAATAAAGCCTAGGGCATCATTTCACGATGCCCTCATAAGTACAAGTTTGCCCTCATCCCATTGAACCATGTGTATTAGACTTTGAATGGGTTGTTGGGAAACTTGCACTTATGACAGTATCGTGAAACGATGCCCAGAGCGATTGTCACCAGAGCGATTAGCAGATCACCAATGCTTTGGGATTTAATATAATACACATCTTAACACCAAACTATACATACTTCTTGTATGGTGGTGATCAGTTTCCTCATCATTTCCACACTGCATGTCTGTTCACTGGGTTGATCTTGGCTGCTCCCTTTCAGATCTTGTAGCGTGCTCTCGATGCGTTTGAAGTAGGAGAGACCATGCTGGTCGCAGAGCACAGCAGCCTCCAGCTAGTGAGAAAATGGAGGGGTGCATGGACAATCATTACTTCAAATAAAAAGAACTTCAAAAAATGCTTGTGCACTGTAATGGCAGCCATGCTAAAGCCAGGGTAATAATAATGATGCGCCAGGAGTGGCAATGTGCCAGATATGAGCGCTATAAAAGACTCCACAACTATTATTATTATTAATACACTTTATATCAATGAAGTTTTACTGTGACAACATGTGCTTGTTATACAAAAACCTACAGAATTTTGATTAGATGACAATGAACTAGAAACAGGTTCCAGTAGAACATGTTAGTTAGAACAGAGTTCTACCTAATTAGGTGAATAAAAATATCATGTTAGAAAAATTGAAATATTCTCAACATTTGTAAAATCATAATACAATAGATAATTATTTTGTTAATGTACATACATGTACATGTATATGTAAATAATAATAAAAATGCACTTTCAAAAAATCATCCTTTTCAAAAAATCATCCTTAACAAAAAAGTCCCAGAGAAAGTTGGTAACTGGCCAGAACTGTCCCATCAGCAATAGAAAATTGTATTCATTAATATCATGGACAGTGTAAAATTTGGAATGATATGAAAATTGTCATTATCTGGCTTGTGTATTTGACGCATTACATGAGGAATGAAAGAGTGATTTCCTTTAATATTCATTATTTAATTCATCTATTCTATGTGCTTTTACCATGATTTTTATTATGGATATGTGGACAAGCAAATTTAAATTTTCCTCAACATCTGCAAATTTCTAAATTTCCTTTGATTTTTTTCTTCAACCACATGCTATTATTCTCCTTTTGTTTCTTCATCAGATGTAATGTTTCAGTATAAATGATAGAGGCCTTTATTTATTTTATTATCATCTGACATGGTGAAGTACCAAATCATAACATCTAAAGAGTACAATGTCATGTACTGTATACGGTTACATGTCTGAAAATCAACACTGCATAGACCACTTACCATTGTTCCAGCCTTGTATGAAGTAGTGCTAACTGGCATTTTGAAGAGCCCTCTAGTATATCGAGCTACAAAAGTGAGGTGGCGAGTCAGAAATGGGTTGTGCAAATATCAGCACCTGTACTGTGAAGGGGTAAAAAAATACAAAATAAAAATAAACTGATATGATAATAGGTCCTTAATTATCATTGGAAAGCAGGGAAGTATCGGTAGCTAGAGCATTTCACCAGCCCTCCCCTATATACTGTACTGTAAGTGCACGAAAATCTGTCAGTAAATACAGACTCTAGATTAGAATCTTGTCGGCAAATAAGGTGACATAGAAAACTCCTCATTCACTTGCAAGTTGTTACGCCACAGTCAAAGTCGATAAAGGTAAAGAAAAGTCTATAACGTCAAAGTCTAAAGGAAGACAAATTAGGAGTTGATCTAGGCTCTGGAGGTTCTAGATCTAACGTTACACCTTTTTCTTCTTTCAAGAAACAAATTCAATTGATCTAGATCTATGATCTTGGAGATGGTCTAGAAAGTAGAATCTAAAATCTAATATTTTTTTGTTGAGTAGACTTATTATAGATCTAGAACTAGAGGTCGAGTTCACGTTTAGACTAAACTCAAAATTGTGCATCACACTCAAGTCAAGTTTAAACTAGATGGAATTTTGACTGCGCGCAGTCGAAAATGATGCCTCCGCCATAGAGCAATTTAAACAAGTTTGGAGTTTAAATCTCCAGTGGTTCTTGAGATATCATGATAACAATCTCAATGTATGGCATTTCGTAAGTTGACCTCTGTGACCCTTGACCTTTGACCTACGTGCTCCAAAATCTAATCAGATTGTCTTCCTATGGTGATACACACTATCATTAAGTTTGAAGTTTAAATCTCCAGTGGTTCTTGAGATATTATGATATGGTGATACATACTATCATTAAGTTTGAAGTGAAAATTCTCCAGTGGTTCTTGAGATATCGCAATAACGATCTCAATGTATAGAATTTCATAAGTTGACCTCTGTGACCCTTGACCTTTGACCTACGTGCTCCAAAATCTAATCAGATCGTCTTCCTATGGTGATACATACTATCCTTAAGTTTGAAGTTTAAATCTCAAATGGTTCTTGAGATATCATGATAACAATCTCAATGTATGGAATTTCATAAGTTGACCTCTGTGACCCTTGACCTTTGACCTACGTGCTCCAAAATCTAATCAGATTGTTTTCCTATAGTGATACACACTATCACTAAGTTTGAAGTTTAAATCTCCAGTGGTTCTTGAGATATCATGATAACAATCTCAATGTATGGAATTTCATAAGTTGACCTCTGTGACCCTTGACCTTTGATATACGTGCTCCAAAATCTAATCAGATTGTTTTCCTATAGTGATACACACTATCACTAAGTTTGAAGTTTAAATCTCCTGTGGTTCTTGAGATATCATGATAACAATCTCAATGTATGGAACTTCATAAGTTGACCTCTGTGACCCTTGACCTTTGACATACGTGCTCCAAAATCTAATCAGATCGTCTTCCTATGGTAATACATACTATCCTTAAGTTTGAAGTTCAAATCTCAAATGGTTCTTGAAATATCGCGCTAACAAACTCAATACAAGGAATTTCATAAGTTGACCTCTGTGACCTGTGACCTTTGACCTACGTACTCCAAAATCTAATCAGATCGTCTTCCTATGGTGATAAATACTATTCCCGAGTCTTAAGTTTAAATCTTAAATGGTTCTTGAGATATTGTGATAACGGTCAAACGGGACGGACGGACGGACGGACGGACGGACGGACGTACGGACGGACGGACGTACGGACGGACGGACGTACGGACGGACAACCCGAAAACATGATGCCTCCGGCACCACCTTCGGTGGCGGAGGCATAAAAATGTGTAACTTTAGTATTACGGTCTACTATTTAAGTTTTTAAGTCAGGCTCTCAAATCTGAATCAATGAATTAGGCCTACTTTCATTTCAGAATTAGATCTTCTTTTTTTCATCTTCTTCTTGCCCATTGCTTTGGACTTTGTTTCATTGCAGATCATCTAGAATATGTTCCCAGCACCCCCCCCCCCCCCTTTCAGCATAAGTCCGGTGTGTAAAGTCAATACGGGCAGATCTTTTTCTTTGTCCCTTCGTTCCCGGAGTTGGGGGGGGGGGGGTAACGGTAGATATAGTATCAGGGGTGATAATGAGCACTGCAAATAGTATTACGGTCTACTATTTAAGTTTTTAAGTCAGGCTCTCAAATCTGAATCAATGAATTAGGCCTAGACCTACTTTCATTTCAGAATTAGATCTTCTTTTTTTCATCTTCTTCTTGCCCATTGCTTTGGACTTTGTTTCATTGCAGATCATCTAGAATATGTTCCCAGCACCCCCCCCCCCCCTTTCAGCATAAGTCCGGTGTGTAAAGTCAATACGGGCAGATCTTTTTCTTTGTCCCTTCGTTCCCGGAGTTGGGGGGGGGGGGGGTAACAGTAGATCAGAAAGAAAAAAAAAATCAAAAAAATTAAAACTCGTGAATAATTATCAGGCCTGCTCTGTCCATAAATTTGGCTACATCATGAAGATAGGAACGACTTATTTCGCATGCAGGCACACACATCATGCTTGCAATTTGCAAAGACTCTGGGAATTCCTTCAAGTTCAGGCTTCAGTTTTGCGACAGCCACCCAAATTGACAAAAATGGGTAGACTACAGCCTACAGGCACAGCTTAGAATCATGTAGATCTATCTAATAATAATAAAACATAATAAAATAGGGTTAGGGTTAGAGAGGCTAGATGCCAATAAAAAAATTGAAACTGAGTGAAACTGAAGTGAAAGTGAAACTGTGTCAGTGTGTGTGTGGCAACGTGCGTGACGTTTTGCTTATTCTTTTCTGACCCCTTCATCCTGGTCCCTGCACAGAATTTTTGTCTTAAACTTAAACTTAATTGATTCTCTTATTTGTAAACTCTATGCTTTTTTTTAAACCAACTTGACGCCTGTGTGGATTTTTCCTTTCAAGGCTCAAGCGAGGTTTGTGCATATTTGCATAGCCGGAGGGGCTCTGCGCTTGACTCCACCACACAAACACACACCGACTCCAACAACCATCTGCAGCTAGCATGCGCCTGGCCTGGCGCTGCCCGAAACTCTGGCTGTGCTCCTTGCACACCCCGTTGGTTGCGCATGCCCATCCATCACAGCTCGTCTAGCTCCCTTCATCTCACGACAGTCAGCAGTGATACCCACTCAACAGAAATACAATATTCCTATTCATTTACAAATCTCTTGTTAGACCAATATGAAAAATCATAGTATATAACAATACAATACATTTACTTTTAACGACAGGGCTTACTTACCAACTCTGCATTTCGGCAAACAATCGGGCTTGAGACTTGACAAATTGACTCACAATTTTTCATCGCCAGCCATCTTGAGATTATAAAGGCCGGTAACACTTTCGTTTGAGAAAGGTAGATCAATAAATGTGAACTGAAGGGATATGCTATTGAAGTTTTATTTCAAATAAAACTTTATATTAAAAAATCTATCAATAATAAGAAAACATATTTATGAAAAAAAAATAAAGATTACAGTATCTGATAAAATCCATATGACTCAAAAGCTGGGTGGATTCTAACTACGCAGGAAATAGCACCCCTATAAAATAATGGTTTAGTCTAAAACTTTGGTCCAATGAAGCGCGCGTACCTTTTGCACATAAAATGTGTTACAGGCGATTGATCGACCGTCTGCAAACAGCCTTCTACTTCTATGGTAATACATCAATGCCTGTTCAGCATCTAGATAAGGGTAAAGCGTTATATACAGCTCTATGCGGTACAGTTCAGCCAGGGGGGTGTTTCACAAAGATCCTAAGTAGAACTTATCTCTAAGTTGGTCTTAAAAATTATGGAAAGCCATTAGCATCCTTGAAAACATTTTGTTAATAGTTATTTTAAAAGACATAAAATGTTGATTCAAATCATTCATATTTTCTATTATCATGGGAGATTCTATGTTCTTGATGTGGAATTTATAAAAAGTCTAAAATACTTGAATTTCTGCTTTTGAATATATTTCATTTTAAAGCTCCAATGGCTGTCCATAATTTTTAAGTCAAACTTAGTGTTAAGTTCTACTTAGGATCTTTGTGAAACACCCCCCTGATTTGGTAAGAAGGAAATGATATCAAAGGCTCCCATAAAGAGCCACCTTGAACTGCTCCTTAGCCCTGCGTATGAAAATCATTCAAACAGAGGGGCGGGTCCAGGGGGCGGATTCAGGGGCGGATCCAGGGGCGCTTTTTTTCCCCTTCCGATCAAAAATAGCAGGAAAAAAGCCAAGAAATATTTACATAAATGTTCGGTTAACGCATTCCGAAATAGTATGAGCATCTTAAAGTAAAGGCTTGGCGCTCGCGGCAATTTCGTACATTTTACGCCCCCACCCCCCCCCCCCCCCCCCCTTGGATTATCCTGGATCCGCTCCTGCACTTTTTTTGTATTTTTAATACAACAATATTAAGAGGAAATTAGGATGGTACCAGGTAAGGCAATCCCTAATCATGATTATTATCAGAAAACAGTGGACAGGCATATAATTTTCCCAAGGGGCACTTTTCGGGAATCTAGCGACTCCTTAGGTCCTTCCAGATTCACCGTCGCGGGCGAGGAAAGGAATGCAAATAAACTAACCCCCCCCCCCCCCGACCTCCTTCTTCTTATGTGTCTTACTTTTCAATTATCCCTCACCAGGTTAATTTTTCTCTTTTCCAGTAAGAGCGCGGGCGACGTTTTGCTGAAGGGATCCGACTGTACAATGCCAGATTAAATACCCAAAGAGAAGGAAACATGAAAGATCATTAGTACCGGTATTGTATACCAGTAGCGGATCCAGGGGGGCCCGGGGGCCCGGCCCCCCCCCCCCCCGGGGGAAAAAATGTGTATTTTTACATTTTTTAACGTTAATTTTACCTTTTAACTTGAGGGTCAAAAACAAAAATAGTACTCACTCCCCCCCCCCCCCCCCCCTGTCAATGCTCATTTCTGACTTATACGAACTACGCACTTTATCGCATTAAAAAAAAGGGGGGATTATTTGAAATTTTGAACAGAATCTTCTTTTTCCGGAATTTGTTTTGTTTTGTTCCCTCGGCCTCATTACTTCTTTCAATGATTCGCTTCATCTTAGCCTGTACTTATCTTTGCTTATTAAAACCAATACGTCGTTTTCATGAGAATATATTTAGATGCATTGGTTGGGGTTGCATAAAGTCTTTCCCCCCCCCCCCCTCCCACATACACACGATCTTCCTTTTGTTGAAAACAGTGGTGAGAGGTGGCACCTGAGAAGGACAAAGCCCCCGTCCACCCCTCCACCTCTCTCTCTCTCTCTATCCCTTTTCTCTCTATTACTCTCTTTCTCTCTCTCTCTCTCTCTCTCTCTCTATTTACCTTCCCCCGATCAAAAAATTTTACTTTCCAAGTTACCAGTCAGCTTCTGTATTATAATTATGAACGACGGTGCCGCCACTGTATTATAATTATAATCGCTGAATAATAATCGCCCACGCCCCACCTTTTTTATACCCATAACATGTTGGGACATCTTCGTTAAAAAAAATCATTGTAGATTACCAAGCGAGTGATAGCACATGCCACTTATACTCCACCTGTAATTGATCCCATATGGTCGATGAAAAAAATAATTTATGCTGGTATATGCCTGTCATGTGGGCCTTGCTAATATTCAGCACTATATTACTTTTATGCCGGGGAGATCAATATTGAAATACACCGCATGAGAAAGAAAATATGCACACACATTATAACAACGTGCCTCCCCTTACTAGTACACTCCAGTCAGGTGGTGGGTTTGGATGTGTGGTACCGGTATGAAGGGAATAGTATACATGCCATTGTTATAGTCATGCAGCAAGTATCATCTCTGGAAACTATATAAGACTGCTGTTCAGCAACCAATACCAAATAAAACTTCGTGTTATCCGTGTTGAATACTCGTCGTTTGTCAAAAACGACAGGTCTAATTTGTGGGAATTCTGTTGGACGATATTCTTCGGATCTGGAAATAGGTGGATCCTGTTGCGGATCGAACTCAGCTCCGTATTGTACCGTTTCAAAGGAATCCGCCACCTCCTGAGCTTTCCTCCAAAAATACAACCCTTAACGATGACCGTGGAATTAACGAGCATGTCTTCAAAATCGTAACATTTATGAAATTCTTCGTGACAACTTTACTCTTTGATTTGAGAAAAGAAGCAGAATCTCAATCGGATCTGTAAAACTCTTAACCCGGAACGGATTCGGGCATCATTCATTCGCCATTCACAGTGGTTCGCTTTTGCACAACGATTTTCTTTCTTCATAATTATTCAAGAAAGATCCGAGTTCGGATGTCATTTACTTTAGATACACCGAGCAGAATATGCACCAACAAATTTGTTATGATGCCATTGAAATGAATTCATTAGTTTTGTGCAAATGGAATCTCGGACAAATTGTACTAAAAGCAGTATAAAGACTTTTGATGGATTTCGGTCGACAAGGAATTTTGAGGGATTCTTCGATAAGGGATTTTTCTTGACTCAAGTGCTATGTTTTGTAAAAACCTGAAAGCTACTAACGTAAGTTGTTTCATTCATAACTTATGAATGATCTCATTTTCACCTGTGATGTTGAAGTACGGTACACTTGAGAGATATACCTTTCAGTACATTAACTATTTTTAACGTTTTATAATTCATAATATGCACCCAGATTGGCCTTGCTTTCTAGGAAAAACATATAACAGTTCAACTTAAGGCCTATATTTGGAATAACATGGATTATGCCGGTGGCTTATTTTATTGCTCTCATGTCCTGGCAAGTTATAGCGACGTTCGAGGGTAACGAAATGTCACTGGGGCTGTGAAACACTATTCCTCAACTTTGTCTGGAGATCCATTGGATGCGGGATAGGATGTGATCAAACTTTCATCGATAATAGGACAGTACTTACAGGGTTACAGTATCTGCCTTCATACTTTGTAGCGGAGTATTTTCATAATTATTTTCTTCTTCGATCTACGCAGCAATCATGCTAATAGACACAGCACCTCCCTTTCGAACAAAATAACACCTGGTTCCCCAGGTCAGGCTTAAATAAATCAATTGAGTCTAGACCACTTCACGCACCTGTCGATGTTTATATACAGCGTTAAGCAGAACAGAAGCATACATTTGCATATAGCAAAATGTCGAGATTTTCTTAACAATCAATTATACACTCTCTTGATTGGTATGACAATTGCGAGGGAATTGCTGTGCCTTGCTATTCGACTTATTGGAGCTCGCAGCTGACAAGAACAATGACGAAAATATTTGAGGTGATACTGAGGCTTTTGTCTCGGCATTTCGCCTTTCTGCGGATCTACCAGGCGTACCTTCAGCGCACGAAGCGGACAATTTCCACGGAAAATCTTTTAGCGACGAGGGATTGTGATTCAGAGACGTTTGGCCTCAAACGAAGAAGACATACCGACTGTGTGATAAAGACCAGAGAATATCACTCAGCAGAGGTATATTGTCGAGATTCAAATAAGAGGAATAAACCGGTGGGATTGCAGAGTGCCTTTATTTTAAAAGGAGATACTGAATTTCAAATGGAGGAGTCGATGATGAATACAAACTTTAGGATCATAACGCATCAGCATGCGTCAAGGACAACATACCACTGTGTCTCGGATAATAATAATGATACTGTTTCAGTGAGGCCGCGAGATCTTCTTACGGACGACTTTCAGGTCGAAGGTTTGATCGGCAGCGGTGGTTTTGGATCGGTGTTTGTTGGGAAGTACTGCGGTCGACGAGTGGCCGTCAAGGTGTTACGACCACGCCGGAAAAACGCTGAAGCCATGCTGCAGAGCTTTCGCGCAGAAGTCAACGCCCTGTACTTAAAGCACGAGAACATCGTCAATGTACTAGCCACAAGTGCCGTAGAGGATTTCGAGGCTGGTGCTTTTATCATCATGGAGTACGCGGGGAAGAGGAATTTACAGCAACTGATCAATGAACCATCCGAAAGGTTACCGCTGGCACGCCGTGCAAATTTTGCTCTTCACATCATCCGTGCCTTACAATACACCCACGCACATAACATCGCCCACTTGGACGTCAAACCAGCAAATATCATTGTAGATGATTATGACGTATGTCGCTTGTGTGATTACGGATGCTCTCAGCAGGTCTTTGGGTCAAATGGCAAAGGTCTTCGAAGCCCTACGAATCGGTCGTACTTGACCGGCACTTGTGGGTACCGCGCCCCGGAGCTCTTGTGTGGTGACGCGCCGACGACCAAAGCCGACATCTATTCGTTCGGGATCACACTTTGGCAGATGCTGACGCGAGAGACGCCATACGCTGGGGAGAATCATCACGTCGTCATTTTCGGCGTCGTCGCCAAGGACATGCGCCCGAAGCTTCCCGGCAACGAGAACGAGACGGAAAACGACTGGTATCGTCGGCTCATCACGAAGGCCTGGCCGAAGCAACCCGAAGACAGACCGACTGCCAGGGAGTTACTGAAAGAGCTGGAGATGCGACTCGGTGTGGACGACGTCGCTTGAACGATTGTGCCGGCAGCCGAACTCCCATCTACCAGTTGGTGAATGTCAGCTATTGATGGTTGAAGTTTGGTGCTCCAGAGCAATATTTTATCGTCGCATCTAACATCCTTGAGATGCCATCTTTGGCTAGTTGCAGTTCATCCGGTGACATCTATTGAACTGCCCATTGTCGTCAACCGCGATTTGAGTCTTCAAAATACTATAGGTTCTCCAACATACTTGCGCAGGTCTATACGTCTAAAAACATTTCTTATCGACGTAATATCTTTTTTATTGTGATATATCAATCGATTGTACTAATGACATTAATGACATATTCAATGATATTCATTTTCATTAGCTAATCATTCTGAGTTTTTAATGATATCACCCTTCCTTAGCAACTGCCATATAGTACCCTATAAGTATACGTGATACATTACGCTTCTCTTTCGAGAGTTTTTAATCGTTGTTATTTGTGAAAAATCTAAAAATTTGTAGTTAAAATCGCTAATGGATTCAATCGATCAAACAAGCAGGCGCCGGCAGATCGAGGCAAATCCGGGTATATCTATTTCATGATTATCGTGATGATGAATACAAAACCATGACGTCACAATCAGGGTTGGTTTTCATGAACCACTTCAGTAAGTGCCTCAGATTTAATTGTGATAATGACTAACATGAATAATTTAATGTCGAATTCCCTGATGTTCTTCTATATAAAGATAATAATGTTACCAGTGACTACTGTATTTAAAATCAACTAGTAGAGGCACCCCTAAACGCTATGAAATATCAACACGTTACTCTGTTTTGTAAATCTGTCCTTTGAATTATACAAATATTGTATTCAAAATTATGTCTTCCTGAGGTTTAAGTCTTCCAAAATCGATTATCTCTCGAGCATTTGTCTTATGGTGGTCATAGGTCTTCCAACTTTCTTTTCCAACACCATTTCTTGCAGTGTAGGCACTACAGCAGATCACTTTCGTGCATTTTTAAAATCTAAATAGTAGAACCCGATGTCTGCCCATGCTTAATCGTTTACTCTCTAATTCATTTTCATATCTCACTTTAGAGAGATGCTACTTACAGTAATACTACTTTGTCTACTTATCTTTTGGTTTCAGTATAAAACATTTGTTTTTGAATCTGTTCTTTTGAAGAGGGATTTTGAGGTGGAAATGTTTTCTCTATGCAATATATCTGAATAATCTTTTAAATCGACCCTTTATCGAAAGAAAACTCATGTGTTTTTGAACAATAATTCCAGAGCAGATTTCAATGCAAATCGAATTCAAATTCAATACAATGATCGGTTTACTAAAATAAACTATGCACAAATTAAAACCTTTCAATAATACATCAACAGACTATCTGCTTGAATTGAACAAAAATATTGACAGTTGTGAGCAGCCCTCTTCCCCGGGGACTATATCCTAGGCCCTCAACATACAAATCAATATTACGATTTGCATAGTAATGCGTGAAGCAATCTATATTTTTAACATCTCGTTTTATTTGCAATTGAAGGACGTGTTGTTTTCAATTTCGTCTAAATTGTCGTTTTTATACCATATGTGTATACGTATAATCTATTCAATGAGGAAAAAAATGAAGAAAAAAAAATGAAAAAATTGTTAATCGTAAACAAATATTTCCCCGTTAATCATGCTGTGAAAAATGTTGTTATTACACTTTTGAGAGATTATGCGATGTCAAATTTCTCGCTTAAACAATATGTCATCTTAAAATGTTGTCATGGCAAAAGTAAAACGAGGCATGCTAATTAGAATTGTGGTATATATAAGGTGTGAAGCTGTCAGGAGGGCTCTAATGGTGATTTCCAATTCCAAAACTATTGGGACATTGGTATAAAGCGCCCTTTTGCCAGGCTAACATCTTTGAATGTAGTCAAGGTTTTTTCTTCAAAATGGTTGGTTTGTTTCTATAATAAATTGTCTATCATGAGTTAAGATTCTTTTGACAGAGATTGAGTGCCCACAAGGAACTTGGTTCGAACCTCGTCCCCATTTATAGTTTGAATTTCGAGCCTTCAGTCACTCCAAAGCTATAGTCCGCTAAACACTCATGCCCATCTGAGAGTGACATTATACCCAGCAAAAGTGGCATTCGTGATATTAAGATAGATTACTGGTTAAATCAAGTTGTAAAGACCTATTTTCTTGACAGTCTTTTGGGTTATCGCAAGTAACGATGGAATCGTGTGCAACGTGAAATATGTGTATATGATTGTAATGAACTCAATACACGCGATGAAGGATATGAATAGTGCTTACTTTTTTGTCCTGGTTTGGTCATGTCTACACGTTCTCATATTCTGACTGGTATAGTGTTACATTTAATAGCGTTTTGCTTTCCATATATGACGTGACCATAAGATGTGTTTATACGGTATGTTCATGGGATGTTGGCGCACGATCATCCATACGATATCGGACATCTTGGGATAGGATCTTCATTCGTATGGACATACCCTATCACATGTAAATGGTACAAAATTTAACTTGATAACGTCAACTCACATGATGTTGTCCATACGACGTGAAACATCATTACGTAGACTCTCATTTCGTATGGACACACCCTATAGGATTATACACAGTCATGATTCAATTATGAAACCGGTTGAGTCAGAATATAAATGGCCGTGTAAATGTGATTAAACGCAGCTTCTGTATGTATGTAACCTTCCAAATCTCACTATTGCTGGTAGTGGCAGCCTCAGGTTCGAGTATCTTTCCGAGAAACACACTCTTGTAACTACCATGGACAGATGCTAGTTACTTGATAATACATGAGAGAGAGAGAGAGAGAGAGAGAGAGAGAGAGAGAGTGGGAGGGAGAGAGAGAGAGACAGAGAGAGAGAAGGAGAGAGATGTATTATGACTGAAACTCTATCACTTTACGTGGGCGAATTTTGGCTAAAAAATTGTCTGATCTCGTTACAAGAGCTATATAATGATATCAAAATCATTTACGCTGGTTTTAAAGGGTATACATAGCAGAGTGTAAAAACGACGATTAACTTTTAATTCTGACGTATCGAAATAATATTTAAACAATGTCATGCTAATTAATACATACTTAATTATTAGCGTAATTCATCTTAACTCAATCCAGTGGGAAAAATTATTCTTCAGTATATGTTATTTTTGGGCTTTAGTTCAATCCTTTCCATGGTAACTGAATCGTGTAACTCGGTTTCATTTGACTGTATAATTTATATTGCTTCGGAGTGGCTGATATTATGCAGTTAGGTCAAACACCTGTGTTATTAGATTTTTAATTATGCCAACGAACGATTAGGAATTTTATTTGTATTAATTGTCTCCGGTTTGCAATACCACCATGTCTCTCAATAAGCTTTTTACACCACTTTAGGGGAAATTACTCTACTCTTATGCATAAATAGGCCTTTGTTTGACAGTATTTAATATAACTAGATATTGAGCATTGGCAAATAAGATAAAATATACGGCAATTCTAAAAGTGAAATCTTTTGCAAAATTATTCTAGAACATGTATTAACGGACGAAGTGCCTTTTTAATCAAAATGATAAAACGTTTGTTCCAAACCGTTTTCCTAGTTATGTGTAGTTGTTGTTAAGCTTCTCATGTTTTGTATTTTCTATTGTTTATATTGTTGGCTTTTGTTACACGAATGAGTTTATTAAATCGAATACCATTTTCTATAAAAAGTGTTTGTTATAATTTATTTTGTCTCCAATTTCAGGTACCGTTAATAAACCGTACTATATAATTATGAGTAAAATGGGATTGTGACTGAATAGCAAAAAGTATGAGAGCGATAGAAAGGAAAGATGAAAGAGAAAAAGATGAGCTAATGAACATGTGGAATAAAGAGGGGCGGTGGGTTTCATGAATTGAATTTTAATTTTGAAAATACCGCATTTATGTCATTCTTTATAAAAGAATGCATTCATAAACATTAATATACTCTTATCCGTTTTACAATGAAAAAAGCGTGAAACGGGACGGGGGGTCTTGTGCCCCACCCCAATAAATTATCAGACCCCCTTACGCACCCTCCCATTAGCCAGTGGCCTTGTTAATTTGCATTTCATTTACCAAGTCGTCCCCCCCCCCCCGATGCCATTGCCACTGCTGCACATACAACAACCAATGACTTCTTTGATACACAATGATCTATTAAACTCAAGAATAGCAACATCGTAGACTCCAGTGCTGTGCTGGCGCCCTTTAGTATATAGCCATGCAAAGCCATCTATACAAGGAGTTTGGCCAACTTGGTTTCCCTTGGTCACAACATGGCGTATATTCTTTTTTGTTTTGTGCTTGCCCAACAAAGCAGTATTCGCCGTATTGTGCCAAACTTGATCCGGGTTGGCCAAACTCTCCTGATCAAAGGCTCTGAACATAGTCAGCGGACATAGCAGTCTATGTACAGATATAGAAACTAAATTATTCATACCCTTTGTAAATTTGATTGTGTTTTTTGTCCGTTTTTCGTAAACGAAATGAAAGATGGACTTGTTAAATTGTGACCTTTGTTGAATATCTTTATGATAGCTTTAGTAGGTCACATTTTTAAGAAACACAAATCGGGGCCCGTCATATAAGCAGTTGCCATTAATCGCAACTTTGTACATAAGTGATATAGGGGCCTGCAAGATCAATCGCAACTCTTGATAAGACAGGTCCCGGGACAACTCAATTTTTCACATACGTTAAAAAATAAAATTATTGGTAAGGGTATGATTAAATTAGTTGTTGCATTATGACGTACATGTATGCTTCGACGTTGAGCCGACATAAATGTTGCTTCTTCGACATTTATTCGGGGCTTTATTTTTTCAGAGATTTTCTATATAGGATTGGGGGGGGGGGGGGCAACAGTAGCGGATAAAAAAAAAACGTGTAAAAACACGTTAATTTAAACCTATTTTGGAGATGGGCCCCCACCCCTGGCGCTCAAGGGTGAGGGATTTTTCATATTTTCGAGGGCAAAAAAAAACAAAATAGTGCTCACTACCCCCCCCCCTCCCCCCCCCTCCCCCGCCGCCGTCCCCCTCCCCCCTCCCCCTCCCCCCCCCCCCCCCCCCCCCCCCCCACTGAGCGAATTTTCGGCCGGCTGTTTCGCCGATAAATATTTTCTCACAAATTGGGCCCCCTCCCCTGCCACCGGCTGGATCCGCCCCTGGGGGGCGAAATGCGAGGGATAGGGAGCAACGTGAACGAGAGGGGCGAAGGTGCCGGAATAGACTACCCCCTCACAGGTTTTTGATTTTTTTTGTTGTTGTATTAAACATAGAAAAACTATAGTATAAAAACAAGAAATATTTACTTGTACATTTTGAAGGATATTATGCGAGGGAGCGTTGCGACCGAGTGAGAAGACTTTTGCATTATTATTAGTTTTTGGTTGCACTTTTTCAAATCTATCCCCCCTCAAAATATTTAGGAGGGGCCGTGTCCCCCTACCCCGTCCCCCGGGATCGCCGCCCCTGAGGGAGGGATTGCAACTGCATGGGTTTAGATTAGATTTAGGGTTATGGTTAGGTGCAGCTTTCGGTCCGTGCAGAGTTGAAGTTTTAGGAATTCGGTAATTGTACGAAAATTGACGACGGAACAACTAGCGTATACAATTTATTGTCACCAGGCTTTCTCACGATCTAAAATTATTCGACCCTGTCCTACTTGTGGAAAACGACAGCTGTGTTGTCTTTTTTTAAACAGTATTGATCCCTTCTCGCCCAACATGTAAACAACCCATGTGTGATCTTCCAGGTCTACGAACTATTAAAAATGCCATGCAGATGAATATATATATATATATATATATATATATATATAGAAGTAATTTGAAAACATATCTATTTAGCTCTTTTTAATATCTCAAAATAAATATGCACTAATTCCACTCCTTCTGTATGCTGTTCTGTAAAGCGCACAGAGACATGCAATGTTATGCGCTGTACAAAAACGTTAGATTATTATTATCATTATTCTACTCGTATGTCCTCATCAATCCTCTTTCTAATATTCTGTCTCTTCGTTCAGTTCATTCTGAACCTAGAATTGGCCTAGTGCTTTTTCATTTCCATTTCTTTCTTCCCGTCTGCCAATATGATTTGTTTTAAATCTATTCTTTTATATATCGCTCTGCCTCTGCGTGCCTCAGTTCCTTTTGTGTTTCATAGAATATAATCTGTCATTTCCTTCTTTCTCTCTCTCTCTCCTTCTCTCTTGCTTTTTTTTTTCTTATATTATCCCCTCGCTCTATCTCTCTTGACACTTTCTCTCCCTGCCTCATTATTTAACAAGTCTTGCTGCTTCTCTCTCTCTCTCTCTCTCTCTCTCTCTCTCTTCATCGTCGTTAATTCTTTCTTTCATTTTTTTCTCATTAATTTTTTCTACATCCCTCTCTCTCTCTCTCTCTCTCTACGATGGAATCATTATCGTCTACATGCCTGTACTTAGAGTACATGGTGGACCCCTTTTGACCAGTTCATTAGACCAGCAGACAGAGCTATATTATGGCAGTCTTCAGGCGAGGTTATGAAGAAGGGTGGAAAGGGGATTTGGAGTGCCGGGGATAATATTAAAGGGGGAGGGGCATGTGGGACTTTCTTTTATATTTGTACTTTATCTTGTGTGTCTCGCTTGAAAGTATATATTCCTAGTTAAAGTGACACGGAAAAGGAGTCATTTTGACTCTGAATTGAGTCAATTCTCAGCTGATGCCACACAATCCGAGTCAAATTGATTCGGAATCCGTGTCACTTTAACTAGGAATAGAGTTGACTCCCAGCTGACGCCATTTAGAGTGAAATTTGACTCCGTGGAAATAAGAGTCATATATATATGGAGGGGGGATCTTATTATGCTGATAGTAAAAGGAAAGTTGTTCAGGCTCATCGCCCCGAAAAGTTACGCAGAAAACAGCAGTCGTTAGCAATAAAGATAATTATCTATCATGAGTAGGTGCTCCTTCACCCAAAATTTGATAGCTATATAAATTAGGTCATTAAGCTCTGTCACAAACAAGAAATTAATTTAATAGAAGAGGCAATATTAGCAGTTGTACGACACTCATTATCCGTTGACAAATCAACTAACCGTATTTCTAAGTTAACTTCAACCTTGGACCAACACATACTAACATCTAACACTTACTCTAACCGTAAACCTATAACATAAAACGCATTTACAACTCAAACCTCAACCATATACATCTTTGACGAAATGAAGCCCGTTATAGCAATAGACCAGTTTACTACCATATTCAAATTTTATGCATTTTTAAACAAAGGTTGTTCTTGACAGCCCGAAAGTTTGTCCGAGGTTTGTCCGACATAGCTACACGTAATGTATGTAGACTGGATTCCAAGTATTGTGGTTCATTCATTAATAACCGGTTCATATAGAATAACTCGTCACTAATTCCCCAGGAAAGAAACACCTATGAATTTGAATATGTTAATAGTAAACAGGTCTATTGTCGCCCGAAAATATAACTGAGCATCATTACTATGTATTTTCAAAAGAGAGAGAGAGGGAAAGAGAGAGAGAGAGAGAGAGAGAGAGAGAGAGAGAGAGAGAGAGAGAGAAAGAGGGGTGTAATAACACGATCACGAGGGGGCGCTAAACCACTTACTAGTAAACGGCAGGTTGTATTGAGAGATAAAAATCCTTGATTGTACCTGCCTTGGCTCTATACGCAAGACGGTGTCGTAGTTACTCTTAGATTTTTAGGCCAAATAACAAACATAACGAGTTTCTCGTCCAGATTTTTTTTTCAAAAAAGGCAAGGCATTACTATTTATCATTTTTCGATTTTTGTTGACATTTTTTTCAAAGATGGCCGCCATGCTAAATATAGCTGGCCAAGGTATATTATTTTATTCACAGATACTGTGCTATATTTGATAAACTGATGCAATGTATGACAAAACAAATGATTTGTATTATTTTAGTCCACTTGCTAAAGAAGTTTCAAAATTCAAAAAAAGTGAAAAATGTACATGTGTTCAGCTTGAATTATCTATTGAAGCTATTTATACAAAATGTACAACACAGCCTCTTTTTTTTTTTGGGGGGGGGGGCTTTTTCTGAATAGTAAATTGTTTTTTTTTAAAAGGAGGCGGACGGGGACGAAAAATTCGTTATTTTTATCATTTGGCCTTACATACTTTTTTATTATTATTTTATTTTATTTTTTTACTAGTACTCAATTCATTTGAATTAGAGTTGACTTGTTTTCATTGGTTTCTACCTAAATTTCAAACCTAAAATAGGTTTTGCCCCTATTTTCAAACCATTTTCAAACCATTATCAAACCAAAGTAGGCTTGGCTATAATACTAGTAGGATTCTGGTTTTTATACCTTTAATTTAATCCATATAGACCCTACTGTTTTGATGTGCCGTTTTATTGGTCTACATCCAGTTGGATTGGTTTGGATAGGGGGTGGGTGAGTTTTTGTTTGTATTAAAAAAAATATATTAACCCTATGCCCTATGCAACCAAGTGGTCCCTGTATTGTGCTCCAATGAGAATTGCATTATTCAGTAGTCAACACTGGCTAGGTTAAAATAATTTCAAATTAAACATTTGTTATGAGTTTGCCTTTTCCCCCAATCAGTCCAATTAAGTCATTGTAGTCTATTGGTGCGTTCTAATTGTTTTCTTCTGGTTTTACAGCCACCCCTTTTTTTTCAACTGACCGGGCAGTATGTTCGTGGTAGTTTCCAGTGGAGGAATGATTTATTAATTTATTTATTCATTGGAGGCGGGTGTGCCCCCTTAAAAAAAAAATCAAAGCGACTTTCAGTCTACAGGCGTTGTGGCGTGCGCCTGTAATCCAGCTAAAAGTGGAAGTTACAAACTGATTCAGCCGAGGACGCAGGTTCGAAACTGAGTCACGTCTTTCGGATGGTGACGTTTAAAGGTCGGTCCCCCAGACGTAAATAATCCGATCTGATTGATACACGTCTGTAAAAACCCAATACACACACACATAATGCCCCACCAGTTTTGAGGTAATCGATCTTGGGTTTTTTTCCCGCTTCTGATCGTCTCACCAAATTTTAGAATTGTTGTGCCTCCTCATATATAACGAAATCGTGGATCCTCCCCTAGTCTGTTGGTTAATGCATTGTTTCTCATGGTTTGAGAAAATGTAAATGACATTTTGACATGAAGTTATTATTGTTTGTATATTTTATATGCTACCTTACGTTTATATGTTCTTTAATTGTTATTCAGTTATTACTTGTTATATTTGGAAAAAGTGGCCTTCACTTCAAGATAGGAGGACAGTTGCACGTCTTACCATGCTGTTCAAGATCAACTCTCATGAACTCCCGATTACCATCCCAGAGAAGTTTATCCCAGTCGCCAACAACCCCAACAGACCAGTCACCCGTAGTCAGAGACCAAGCCAGTACATCAACTACTCTGCCAGGACCGAAGCATACAAGAACAGCTTCTATCCTCGTACCATTCAGCAATGGAATCGACTACCAGCCACCATCATCAAAGAGTCAACATCGGCCAAGTCCTTCAATACCAATGTTTGGAGCCAGTGGCGTACGCAGGATTTTTTCAAGGGGGGGGGGGGGGGGGGGGGGGGGGGGGGGGGGGGGGGGTAAGAGGACACTTTTTTTTTTTTTTTGTCTCGAAATTTGAAAATTTGACATTTTGTTCCGTTGGGGGGGGGGGGGGGTAAGGTCACCTTTCTTAGGTCAGCCATGGGGGTAATTTTTTTTTTTTTTTTAATTTTTAATTTTTTAATAATAAATAAAAATAAAATAAAAAAAAAACATCCAAGGGGGGGGGGGGGGGAGGGGGGGGGGGGTTTAGGGATTTGTTAGGGGGGTTTACACACATAAAAATACCAAAGGGGGGGGGGGGGGTTTAACCCCCCAAACACCCCCCTGCGTACGCGCCTGTTTGGAGCTACATGCAGAATGACCACTCAGCCCAGCTGTACACAGGCGGGATAGAGCGTCGATGTGGCTCTACTTCATCTATAAATTAGATGTCTACAACCCACTCATTTTATGAGCACCTTATTATTTTGTTTTTTGAACTTTGCATCAGTTGTGATGTTTGTTGACAGTTTGCGATGCCACGGAAATCTGGACGTATATACCAATTGGTCCTGTCTAGTACCACCTTAGATGTAGATGAAATCAAATCAAATCAGATCAACAACAAAAAATGTAAAATCTCATATTCTTTTACCTTTTCCTTCACCTCTCCCCTCGCTCTCAGCTTTTTTAAAATATTGTTTTTTAATTCCATTTGATTCGGGGGGGGGGGGGCACGTCCACCCACCCCCTCCCCCTCAACCGAAGGCACACCTCCCAACCCAGTACCCATAGACCATGGTTCTGTACCCCACCCAATTCGATGACCCCACCCTGGCGTTTTATTTTACTTAGTCTTTTTCAAGTCCATGTGAAATTACACTGTATTGTGATTCAAGAATGGACTGTTTAAAAGAAATACTTAAAACAATTTTTTGAATTTAAAGCCATTTAAATATTCAATAAAACTTTTGAAAAATGATGAGTTGTTCTCATTTTACATTTTATATGTTTAAAATGTATAGTGATATTAATAATAAACATCTGGCATTGCTCAAAGACTAGAGTGGGAAGGGCATTTTGCATTGCTTATTATTTGGGAGTCGGTAATGCGTATAAATAGACTGAAATTTGTCATGCAGATTTGCCGACAACGACAACAATTTATTAATTCCTGATGTACGCAGTATTTCTACATTGTTGACGCATTTTATCATCATATTAGATTTAATATCCCTGCATCATGTTCGGAAGAGGGAAGAAAAGTAATAACGCACCGCCAAAATCGGATCAAGTTCGAAAAACGGTATGTTTACACAGAAACGAATGTGTCGAGACTGTCTGTGAGTGTGAGTGAGTGTGAGTCTGAAAATGTATGCAAAGTCTACGTCTAACTGTTAGCTCTGCAACTTGATACCTGGGTGGACTCGACTGCATTATGATAAGCCTTAAACTTAGAGAGAAGGCCACGTTCTGGGAAGAGGTGAAACGTAATTTGTGAGCATTGTCATTGATTGTTATGTGTGGAAGAACATCAGTAGACCTATACTATAGTAGGCACATTCATGGGGCACTAGAGGGCGCTTCGCTCGCGTACGACAATCTGAATGGCCTTGCTGCGGTGGGTCGGCAATAATCAGCCCAAAACTTGGATATGGGAGGTTGGAAGGATATATCTTTTTTATAATGTTATCCGGTCTTACCCTTAACCATCCTTGTTTAATCTATGTAGAAATAACATGCGAGTGTGATAAGAGAAACATCGGGCCCATTACTGAAGTAACTTTTTAAATATTAGCCTAGAAATGACCACCAAACGGAAAAAATTGACAATTTTTTCCTGACAAATCTTCATAAAATCTGAGTTATAAACAAGTCACATACACTAATACAAATACGATTTTCTGAAAATTCAGGTATGATTTATTAAGTTTCTTTCAAGTATATTTCTGCGCATTGCAGCGCCAATATTCTACACTGCTTCAAAATCACACTTGAATTTTTTTTTTGCAACAAATTTGATACGAGGTCCGCGAGTGTTCCCGTTCCTTGCGTGTTGAAAGTTTGGTAATACATAGTTTGCATTGACTCGCGCACGAAAAAATGGTCGAAAACAAAATGTCAAATGAAGAAATAAACAAGCTTTTGTATAGTTATAAGAGTTCTACCGAGGTTTCTTTGTCGATTCAATTGATTATATAGTCTCAATTAGAATTCAGAATTATCTCACTGAAAAGTTAAGAAAACCGACGATGTTCTCGATCTTAGTTATTTTCATTTTGCCAGCAGCCGATCTAGCGTTGTTTGGGCAAAAAGCTAGGCCGCTGCCTTCCCACGCGAACCCTTCCGAGTCCCGCTAAAATGGCGCTCTGCGGAGCTCCGAAGCTGCGTTGGTATTGCTGCAAACTCTCAGCCGGCTAGCTCCCCACGAAGGACCATTCGCGGTATGGCGAGAGTGTGTGTGTGTGAAGTTTGATTTTGGATTCGAGAACGCACGTAATGCAACCGTGCGCGTCATTTTCAGCTGTCGAATGTATACGACCAATTTTACATGTACGATTTTTAGTACAGATACTTGGTCAGTTTTCTTCTTATATCTTTGGTTTTACAACATTTAAAAATATAATTTCTTCAAATTTGCTCCTGACTCGGTTCAGACTAATTGTCTGATGTGTTTTCAAGTCAATTTTTTTTAATATATTTTTTTGCATGAATTTGCCTAACATCAGATAAAAAATGTTTCCTGAAAAGCATGGCTCTTCAACTAAGTTCAAATTATGCCTTCGTGTTCTAAATGTGGCGTGTAAATTAACAATAACAACATAATTGGAATCCCGAAAGGCCAAATCTGCAAATCAAATGGGTGACTGTCTCCCAAATAGGCTTAATCTTCAGTCAAGTTCAATGACAGTTTCTCAAATAGGACAGGAGATAGTTTCCCATATTTTACAGCACATCCCATAATTAGGTAAAAATAAGGGTATGTCTTTTTGAAGCGGCTATGATGATGATGGAGACACTCATGTACTTTCATACTTTCACTACATGTGCTTCATTTCGTCACTATGGTCACACGCATAGGTGTTCTCATTCCCGCTCCATGGACTCTACACATAACTTGCGTGTGATGGAATGAAGCACGCCTTGTGGGAAAGTGCACTAGCAGTCTCGCACTGATGATGGATGTAAATCTAGCTCATTTAACCCAAAACATTCAAAATAGAATTGATAGATTAAAAAACATCTCATAATTCTTTGTGAGTTTTAACACAAATTTAAACTTGACCTGTCCATCATGCAGAACACAGACATGTTTGGCATGCCTGACCTATCGGCCTATGCTGTCAATGCTGAGGTGGGTGTGTCCGATGAGGCCCTGGAGGCCGAGCTAGCCGCCCTGCTCGAAGAGGAAGATGACGACGCCCCTCAGATCACCCGGCAACGAAGACCAGCTCCAGCTCCAGCCAAGCAGAATAAGACAGGTATAAATCTCAGACTGAAGTGACTACACTGGTACCCATTTCACAAAGCATTTTTTTCAATGAAAAATGACAAAAATCAGTGACAAATCTTCTGATAAGCAAGGATTTCACTAGCTTATAACAAAAAACTATCATTTGTCACTGTTTCACAAAATTTTATAAAAAAGGGTACCAGTCACTAAAATTGTTTTGCTCTGTATGTTAGAAGACTCTAGTTCCTTGTTGTAATACTATATTAACAAATATGTGAGCTTGAATATTACATCTGTAAAGATTTTTGCAAGTTTAAGGTTTTTTTATTTTTGCAAGCGTTCGCGCATAGTGCGAGTCTTGCATCTGGTGTTGTGAAGACGCACCGGACAAATAGCAGGATATTTTGCCAAATAGTGGGATATTTTGCAAACTATCCCAAGATATCTTGGGATGACAGTCCCGGCCAAATATCCCGCTAATTGCAACTTCAGGCTGATGAAGACGCAAATTAGCTGGATAGTTTGTGATCGGGATAGTTCAAATAGCGGGATATTTGGCAATCTCAGGCTAGTGAAACCAGGCCTATTATGTATTCTTATCATCACTTGAACTCTACATTTGAACTCTAGACTACTATTTATTTGAATATAGTGAGTTTTGCATCCATGATTTATAATGCTCTTCTTTTCTAGTTGATGCTATCAAACACATTGATGCAATGGCTGCCGAAGCAATGAAGGACATTGATGATGATGATCTCGATGACGATGACGAAGATGAGGATCTCCTACTTGTAAGTGAGAAGCATCAAATATGGTTCGATACAATATCCAAGATTTAATGGTTTAGCACAACAGGGGGGTGTTTCACAAAGACCCTAAGTCAAATTAACTCTAAGTTGGACTTAAAGGTTATGGAGAACCATTTGTAGCCTTGAATGAAACATATTAAAAAGCAAAAAAGTATTTTAGACTCTTTACCAATTCCACATCAAGAAACTGAAATCTCTGTGATCATAGAATAAATGAATGATTTGAATCAACATTTTATGCCTTTTAAAATAACTTTTAAAAAATAATTTAATAGATGCCAGCGGCTTTCCATAATTGATAAGTCTAACTTAGAGATAAATTCAACTTAGGATCTTTGTGAAACACCCCCCAGTTGTTGATTCATAGCCATGAAGATCTACATTTGTAAAGAGACACGAGTAGAGAGAGAGCATATAATTCTCCAGACAGTGTGTCGATTTATGTTGTGCTGCTATGTTGTGTTTGATACCAGGGCCCCATTGCATAAAAGCTCACCATTGATGGTAACTTTGCCATCAATGGTAACTGCTATGGAAACCTTGATTTTGATTGACTGTTGTTCCCTGTTACCATGGTAGTTCCCATTGATTGCAAATTTACCATCAATGGTCAGTTTTATGCAACGGGCCCTGAATTTTTCTCAGTGGAAGTTAGCTTTAAGATCTGTAAATTTTAAACAAGTCCCAAATCAGTGCCGTTTTGCAGCTATTCTTCATAGTTTCTGCCATTGTTGATGTTTTTTGATGCACTAGATACATCTGGTTTTAAGAGGAAATGCCAGTTTTGCTGATTTGAGGATGAAAGCCTGATCAATTTACTCTTTTAAAAATTCTGTCTTGAATGGATTGGCTCTTGATGGCATATTTCTTTGTTCCAATGTATGCAGGCTGAGCTTGAGGACATCACACAGGAATCGTCAGAAACCCTCACTCCTCCTGTCCCAAGTCCAAAGATGGCAACTAGACCTAGCCCTAAGCCCAGCCCTGCTCCAGAGTCTAGTCCCGCCCCAGGGCTGAGGCCAGGACCATCCAGTGTGAACAGAAGTCCCTCGCCAGCTAGAAAACCAGGTCCTGGTACTGCAGCACCAAGTCCATCCCAAACACAGGTACAGTATGATACCTGCCTGTGATGCAGGTCTTTACATTATTTAACCCTTTGCTTACGGGAACCTGGTGGTCCCTGTGTTAAGCCTATGGGACAAATGAAAGTCAGTAGCCAACGGGGTAAAAGGCAATCCAACCTTTGTCAATCCAACCTTTGTAATGAATTCATTTTTGCAAAAGCAAACACAATGAGGGAAAGGTTGACATAAATCGGACCAATGGTAAGAAAGTTGAAATATGAAATCACTATGTTTGTGCAAATCACAAATTGGCAATTTAGTCACACACCGTCTCCTTCTTCATATTGGGGAATAAAGTGAAAGCAGATTGTTCCAGAGTTCACTTTATTTCATGAACTTGTACCTTCTTTTGACGTTGTCTCTTGCAATTAGAAACCCTCGGAACCAGCTGATATGAACACCCTGCTCCAGCAACGTGCCCAATCGTACCAGCAGGCCATTGTCGCAGCAGAGGCAGCTGGGGAGGGGTCAAAGGTCAGGAGATACAAACGTCAACTCAAGGTGAGTAAGCTGTGTTTACCCACTAAACAGGGGGTGTTTCACAAATACTAAGATTGACTTTAAGTTGGACTTAACTATGGCAGGCAGTTCATGCCACTGTTTCCTCTCACTATATACCGGCATTGATCTCTCAAGGGACGTACAAATCATGGTCACAAATCTACAGAATTTACATTTTTTGATAATTCATTATTAAAGGAAAAGATAAAATCTAAAGATCATAATGGTGAGAGGAAATAGTGGCATGAACTGCCTGTGGTATTTAAGTCCAACTTAAAGCTGATCTTAGTCTTTGTGAAACACTCCTCATGATAAATAGTTCCAGTGAGAACAATACAGAGGGGTAGTGAGCTATTTAGCTGTGGAAAGCTTGAAAAGTACTCTGGAAAGGTATTCTGAAAACTACATGTGTGTTGTATTTTGTGTTTAATAGTGAAAATATGTTAATTGTCAAAACAATTGGAATTTATCTACATTTTAACTTTTGTGCAAAGCTGGCTATGTATACATGAAGTTAAGAGAGGCAGTAGTATAAGTCCCGAATTCAGAATACAGTCCCTCGAAACTGATTTTAAAAAATGAAATACATACCGTAATTAACGGTGTATTAACCGCACCTTTTTGCCGCCGAAAAAATTCAAAGTCGGGGGTGCGGTTTATACACGGCAATGTCTCCCAGCTCAGTAATCGGTGTGTTGACTCACCACTCGGAAACTAGAACAACACTCAAATTTGTCTGTCATCTTGGTTTGAAAGTAATCTTTCTGATAGATTTCAATATGTAGTTGATAAAAATAATTCCTTCAATTTTTCTTCTATTACATGGCGTACCACAAGGTTCTATCCTAGGTCCTCTACTGTTTTTTTTTTATTTTTTTATTTTTTTTTTAAGGGCGAAAAAGAGGGGTGCGGTTAATACACGAGGGCGGTTTATACAACGTTAATTACGGTATATGATTGTGTGGAAATTTCAGTCTTAATACTGCAAATCCAAAAGGGCACCCTTCGGCAAGACATTTCAAGTGTTATTCTACTCTTTAAATATTGCTTGCTACTCTCAACCCAAGTGAACTAAATAGGTACACGGTAGGAAGATTTTCCAAGAATATTTGTTATTATCTGTGGGAACCGGGTCCTGTATTAAGTAAACTTTTTTAATGAAATGAGGGAGTTCTTGATCTATTATCTTTCTTTTCAACCTCTGAAGACCTTGACAGATATGCTGAGGAAAGTCAAACTGGGTAAACCTGTTGATAAGGAGGAGATTTCCCCTGATGTCTTTGTACCTAAACCAGCAGCTGATGAACAACCTCCTCCCCAGCAGCAGCAGCAGCATCAACCAGTGCCTGCACCTAGGGCACCAGCAGTGACACAGCCAACCTCTCCCCCAGCAATAGTAGAGCGACCAGATCCTGCACAAAGCAAAAGTACAGGTAAATTCAATATGGGAAAGGGTTAGTGTAACATCTGTTGTGCTAGCCATGGCTTAAAGAGAAGGTTGAGTTCTGGGGAGAGGTGAAAAATAATTTGTGAGCGCTTTCATTGTTATCATGCAAGTGTGGAAGAACATCAGAGAAAAAAATGTTCCCTGAAAAGCATGGCTCTTCAAATGCCTTCATATTCTAAATATGACATGTAACAGCTTAATAATGAGGACCTCATTTTTATGCCACATGTTTGTGTAGTCCCTTATACATCCTTCTGTGTACAGTGCTTGTTACTTTTACCATTACACGGTCACATTTCTTATCATTTTGATGATTCCAGAACCTTGCAGTACACACTAATACTTCTATGCTACATGATCAACCTTTTCTGATCGATTCCACACCTTTTCTTTCACAATGCAATCGCATGACCAGAACTCAATTTTATCTTTAAAGTTCTGAATCAAATAGTAATTGAGATAAAAACTCTTGTTGTTTGAATAAGTACAACGACCAGATACTGAAATGAATATTCCACTTTGATATATAGAGAATAACAACCTAAACAGCAGCATAGGATAAGCCGTTCGTAGATACAGTCTGTACATGAGCAGACGAAAGTCATTTGTACCAAATTTGTAAAAGGCATAGAGATTGAATACTGGATAGGTGCTCATGAAAGTCATTAGAATAATGCAGACATTTAAAATGTGCAACTTGTCCACCCAAAGGGGGCGCTATAGGGGCTTACAATAAACAGAGTAATGACAAAAAAATGTTCTCTCTGTAAATTAAGATAGTAATTTAATGTCATCATTCTTATATTTTGTGACCAGATGCTGATCAATTGAAGTTACTGAGTGTGAAGAGAGATCAATACAAAATGGCGGCCCTCCTTGCCAAGAGGTCAGGTGACATAAAGACTGCTGCCGAACATCTCAAGGTTGCTAAGGTGAGGAATATTAAAATGAGAATCATTAAACTTGTCCATACTGTTAGTGGAAAATCCTGGCCGAAATGATCATTTATAGTGCTTTCTAACTTCTTGTTTGTTAAAAATGTGGCTTAATTTTTCTCCCTGAAACTGGAACGCTACCCTCATGGCAAAGTTTAATTAAACATTGAACAGCAAGCAAAGATCTAACTGTTCAAATTTCATTCATTTCAAGAATGCTGCTTTGTATATGAAACAATATTTTTGAGCCCCAAAATAGAGTGTAATTATTTAGGTGTTCATCATCTATCAAAAATACAGTTGAGGTTCAGGGATTTCCAGCTACAATAAAAAAAATCTCAGAAAATCTGGAAAAGGATTTCCTGTTTTTTCCAGTCATGAAATAGTTTTGTTTCGACTATGGTTACATAATTTTTTTAAGAAATTTTGAACCAAAATACAAATACATTTCAGTTGAAATTATTATCCTGGTATCTTGAAATTCCATTTGTGAAGTCAGAGAATTTTCTTATCATGGAATACTGGTAACCCTGGGTAGTTGCTAATTAAATGCCAGTCTTGAAGTAACTTAAATTAGGATGTACCACTCTTTTTACTTCTTTTCCGCAGCAATTTGATGCAGTTATCAATGCACTGGAAGCGGGTCAGCAGGTTGACCTCAGTGGGATGCCCGGTCCCCCTCCACAACCAGGTAATCATCAAACGTAATTTAAATTATTATCTATATAAGGCTTCCAAGTGGTACAGTAAATCAGTGTATCCAATTTCTTTAGCGCAGTACCCGGATGACTGACCAATATTGCTTCCGTATTGCTCAGTCATCCAGGAACTTCAACTATCGATATCAATATAGACATCGATATCACACAAAAACCATATTTATCGAGGTAAGTCAAATTTTGTTATTTCGCTAGTCAGCCTGATATAGGTAATAATAACATTATATGGCTTTGTTTTTGTGTGATACAAGAATATAGTGTCATAGCTCGAGCATTATATTCTTGTATCACACTCAAAGCCATCCAATATCATAGAAATTCTTCAGAGAAGATTGAATACTTGTAAAAATGGAAAAGAATTTGTGAAATTTCTCATTTTGTGTACGTCAGTTTAGACGAATTTCAGAGTTGGACGCCTCCTGAACAGGATTGCTTTACAAATGCCCTCATGTTTGAAATATGACAAGAAATCGATGAAAATTTTGAAACAAAAATTCAAACAACACGTGTGTGTAGTCCCATATACCAACATATGAGAGCAGTGCTATGTGATTTTCCATAGGATCAAGTCATTTTTAATTTTGATCATTCCAAAACTGCACAGTATAAAGCAATTCTTATGTTCCACATAATCAATCTTTCCCAATTGCGTACAGACAGTTTCTTTCTTAAAGGTAAAGACCAGTTATGGTCATGCGATTGCATTGTGAAAGAAACATTGTGGAACCGATCAGAAAAGGTTGATCATCTAGCATCTAGCATCTGCAAGGTTCTGGAATCCTCAAAATGATAAGAAATTTGGCCCATTCTTCGTAAAGTTACAAGCACTATACACAAAAAGATGTATATGGGACTTCCTATATCTCTCACAGACCATGAGAGAAACAAATTTACCAAATATATGAATTAGTAGGCGGTTTCCCGGCAAATTTGTTATCATCAAGTATTAGTCAAAACATATTCTTTCACATGATTGGTAATGAGAGCTTTCATTTCATTTTTTGAAATTGGGGCGTTTCCAATACTGGTCTTTACCTTTAAAGATAAGCTTGAGTTCTGGTAATGATAGAAAATAAATTCTCACAGAATCCAACAAAACTTACAGTGAATGTTCAAGATTACAAATAAATGACGTGTGCCCAACGATTTTGGTAGAAAATGTATAGGGGCTGTGTAATGAGCATTATACTGAAATCAAGGTAAGTAGGCCCGACACCAGTCCCAAGACAAATGTATTTGTTGACATTATGTATATGTAGGGAAGAACTTATCCTTGCTTTCTTCTTTCTGACATTCCCCATGCTTTTTATGATCATCAAGCATCAACTAATTGATCCTTTGTATCCACATCAGCAGCGGCAGCTCCTAGGCAACCTCCTGCTCCACATCCGACTCGAGCTCCTGCACCCACAGCTCCTGCACCCACAGCTCCTGGTCAAGCTCCTGTTCCTGGTCCAGGTCCATCGGCAAGCTCAGACCAGGGCTATCCCAGTCCCAAGACGGACCTTGAGGCTCTGCTTCAGAGACGAGAGAAGTATAAGAGCATGGTGGACAAGGCAAAGGAAGAGAATAACGACTCTAAGGCTCGCAGGATTGGACGCATTGTTAAGGTTTGTAAAAGCTAAAATTTATTGGCTTTGATTGGCTTTTCTCCTCCTTCAATTTGGAGGATTGCCCGCATTTTCTGGGTTTTAGTACAGGAGCTAGGGGGGGTCAACCTAGCTGGGAAGGAAACCAATTTTCATGTGCACAGATGTGAAGATCACATAGCTCCACATAACAAATTGACAGTCTGGCATGTTCTAAGTGGTGGGTGTGGCCAGGGGGACGCCCCCCACCAAAAAAGTGGCCCTTTTGACGACAAAATAGTATTTTGTAAATAACATTTTAAGGAAACCTTGAACCACTATGGGTTTTGTGTCATATGAAAGAGAGTTAAATTATCTACATTTTGAAACCAATTTCAAAGAATTTGGGATTAATTAAAATCGCAAATTTAAGTAAAAAACATGATTTTTGTGATTTTTTTCAAAAAATTGAATTTTATCAAAAAACATTATTTTCCATAAATCAAAATCGGAAAATTGATTTTTTTAAAAACTTTCCAGGAATTTGCTTACGTTCAACGACAATAACCTATGCGAAGGAGAGGTTTATATATTGTTTCAATAAAAAGTTATACCAATCCAAAGTTATGGATTTGATTTCCACAAAAACAACATTTTGCCCACATGTGTATAAACTGTATGCATATACGTGCATTAGTGTATTAAGGACCTGTTTGGTGTGTTTACATCAAGTTTTAAAGATAACTTTGAACTAAAACCTCTAATCACCATGTATTTGGCGTCAAAAGATGGATAATTAAAACTCTTCATTCTGATAACAATTTTAATGAGTGATAAAGTGTTTGAAATATAAATTTTGAGCCAAAAAGGTGCTTTATTGTAGATATTCCTCTGGTTTTGGCCAGTATATCGGTATATTAACTAGACAAGTGATTGGACATTTAGTAGTGCAGAAAGTTCAAAGGATTTAGAGCGCTGAGTGCAATTGATCAGTTCTTCTCCTGTACTCTGGGATGTTTCAGGAATGTGGACATTGGCAGTTCCCTCTCCCCCCCCCCCCCCCCCCCCCCACCACCCCCACCCCGCCCCCTTTCAGTCGCTTGTCATAATCTTGCCCAAAAGTTAGTGCATCGATCAACATGAATATAATATAATATAATATCGCCATGTTTGGTTAAATGGCTTATTTTGCCTGACTACAAACACGTGTATGCTTGTTAGCACCCAATACTCTGCACAATCCCTATTGTGATAAAGTAATTCAGTACAAACATTGAAGGAACATTATGAAACTACTTGATTCGATTGAATCTCAGTTTTTGTCTTTGTGTGTTTCAAAGAGAAAGTTTCACAACTACTATTGAGATCAATTTGAAATAAAAGGAGGAAATAAAAGGGGAAAATATCAAAGGTATCAAAATATGCTCATCTGACCGTAATTAAATGCCTAAAACCCCTTGACTTCCGGTGGCTCTGCCCCCTGGACCCCATCTAGGACCCTAAGGCGGACGGCTGGATGCTATTCTGACGGTAATTTAATGCTTAAATCCCCTGAGCTTCCGGGGGCTCTGCCCCTGGACCCCACGCCAATTTATGACCTGCCAGTGTCACAAATATGGTAAAAATATGCTTATCTGACGATAATTGAATGTGTAAAACCCCTGAGCTTCTGGGGGCTCCGCCCCTTGGACCAAACACCAATTTGTGTCCTGCCAGTGTCACAAATATGGTATAACATTATGCTGATCTGACAGTAATTTATTGCCCAAAACCCCTGAGCTTCTGGGGGCTCCGCCCCTTGGACCCAACACCAATTTGTGTCCTGCCAGTGTCACAAATATGGTATAAATTATGCTGATCTGACGGTAATTTATTGCCCAAAACCCCTGAGCTTCCGGGAGCTCTGCCCCCATGACCTTACGCCAATTTATGACCTGCCAGGGTCACAAATAAGGTAAAAAATATGCTCATCTGACGATAATTGAATGTGTAAAACCCCTGAGCTTCTGGGGGCTCCGCCCCTTGGACCCAACACCAAATTGTGTCGTGCCAGTGTCACAAATATGGTATAAAAAAAATGCTTATATGACCGTTATTTATTGCCCAAAACTCCTGACCTTCCGGGAGTTCCGCCCCCTGGAACCCACGCCAATTCGTGACCGGCTAGTGTCACAAATAAGGTATAAAATTATCATCATCCGACGATAATTTGATGTATAAACCCCTGAGCCTCTGAGGGCTCTGCCTTTTCTCTTTCTCTTTTTTCTTTCCCTTTCTGCCCTGGGAAAAAAATGTGTAAAAACACGTTAATTTTAACTTTTTGTAGGAGTTAGGCCCTCCCCACTGGCGCTCAAGGGGGGGGGGGGGGTGCGATTTTTTTACATTTTCGAGGGCCAAAAAAAATAAATTAGTGCTCTCTTAGTGCCCCCCCCCCCTCACCCACTGAGCGTAATATTGGCCTTCACGATTTTAAAATTTCAGCACACTAAATTTCAAATTAATTTCAAATTTGGGCCCCCACCCCTAAGAAATCCTGGATCCGCGCCTGTATGTACCATATACGATCCAACTCAAGTAGGCACAATATTTCGGGCAAATTATTTGGTACGTAAATGGACATAAATTATGCATGATATGGACTAACTCCAGGAGTTCCTGGAGTTAGATATGGACATGATTTAATATTGCTTTATTTGATCTCAAATGGATTTTTCCTTGATGTTGAAAACATGTGTTGCGTTGTGATATTGCCTTTAGAAATAAAATGGTTAAAGGCGTTGCATAAAGCATTTGGTTGGACATTGTTTTGCGAATTTTAATAACCCAATAACAATAATTACTGTACAGGCCTAGGTAAAGATAAGTAGAGTTCGAAAAAGATTGTCATTGACTTTTACAGTAGCACAAGACTTAAGTTAAATCGTAAGGTATATAGCTCTTAATTTTTATCGTATTCATATCAGGAAGGAGTGCAGGAAAGGGACATTTAAACCTAAGTACAATTTGCCTTTCACATTAGTCCCGCGAGGTTTCTCTCAACAATCTATATCTAGCATCAAAGGGTGTCTCGCAGTCACTCCCCACCATTTAAATCGTGTGGCAATGGCCATTTGTGTATCGCTGGCCTGTGGCGAATATTTTCATATAGGTTCCATTGGGGTTTCCTTTCAAGCTGATTTAGCTCAATATTGAGGTTAGGGTATTTTAGGGACGTCTGACAAACACCCCACCCAGGTGCACCTGAAGCAGTTTGGGATTGGGGGAGGGGGCAAACATTCCAGGGGCGCACCTTTCAGGGGCAGTGGCGTAATGAGCAAAAACTTTTGGGGAGCAGAAGAAAAATCTGCACCAACCTCACTCTTACACGTTACATGCCGGCCCCGCGGAACGTTTTTCAAAGTGGAGTATTAACGATCAGGTAGAGCGGAGCGAGTGCAGCGTAAATTGGCGTGGGGTCCAGTGTCTTTGCCCCGGCGGGGTCAAGGGGCAAAGCCCTCAAGAGCTGCAGGGGTTTTAGGCATTAAATTACGGTCAGATAAGCATATTTAGATACCTTATTTGTGAAACTGGCAGGTCACTAATTGAAGTAGGGTCCAGGGGGCTGTGTCCCATGAAGCTCAGCGTTTAAGGCACTTAATTATGGTCAGATGAACAGACAGGGACCCGTCTTAGGGCCCTTGGTGAGGTCCAGGGTGTGGAGCCCCCGGAAGCTCAGGGGTTTTAGGTATATAATTACGGTCAGAAGAGCATATTTTGATACCACATTTGTGACACCGGCAGGTCACTCATTCTTTCTTTCTCTCTTTCTTTCTTTTTCTCTTTAACATACTTTTTTTTTAAAGTCAGGGGGGCTGGAGGGGGCGGGGTGGGGGTGGTGGGGGGGGGAACTGCCAATGTCCACATTTCCTGAAACATCCCAGAGTACGGAGAAGAACTGATCTATTGCACTCAGCGCTCTAAATCCTTTGAACTTTCTGCACTACTAAATGTCCAATCACTTGTCCAGTTAATATACAGATATACTGGCCAAAACCAGAGGAATATCTACAATAAAGCACCTTTTTGGCTCAAGATTTAAAAAGTTTTTCAAAAATTCAATTTTCCCATTTCGATTTATGGAAAATAATGTTTTTTTATAAAATTCAATTTTTTGAAAAAAAATCACAAAAATCATGTTTTTTACTTAAATTTGCGATTTTAATTAATCCCAAATTCTTTGAAATTGGTATCAAAATGTAGATAATTTAACTCTCTTTCATAATGACACCAAACCCATAGTGGTTCAAGGTTTTCTTAAAATGTTATTTACAAAATACTATTTTGTCGTCAAAAGGGCCACTTTTTTGGTGGGGGGCGTCCCCCTGGCCACACCCACCACTTAGAACATGCCAGACGGTCAATTTTTTATGTGGAGCTATGTGATCTTCACATCTGTGCACATGAAAATTGGTTTCCTTCCCAGCTAGGTTGACCCCCCTGGCTCCCGGTCTATTTGTAAAAGCTAAAATTTATTGGCTTTTCTCCTCCCTCAAATTAGAGGATTGCCCGCATTTTCTCCTGAAATTTGATATGAAGGTACATGATATCAAAATACAGGCTAAGTTTGATTTTGGAGTACGTAAGTCAAAGGTCAAAGGTCATAGCTCATTAAATATGCAAAAAAATACATCTGGTTATGATCGATAACTTCAGTAATGTTTGACGGATTTTAATGAAATTCGATATGAAGGTACATGATATCAAAATACAGGCTAAGTTCAATTTTGGAGTACGTAGGTCAAAGGTCAAAGGTCATAGCTCATTAAATATGCAAAAAAATACACATCTGGTTTCCGATCGACAACTTTAGTAATGTTTGACAGATTTAAATGAAATTTGATATGAAGGTTCTTGGTATCAAAACACAGCCTAAGTTTGATTTCGGAGTATGTAGGTCAAAGGTCATAGCTCATTAAATATGCGAATCTGGTTTCCATTCAATTACTTGAGTAATGTTTCACAAATTTTAATGAAATTTAAAAGGAAGGTACATGGTATCAAAATACATGTACAGCCTAAGTTCGATTTCTGAGTATGTAGGTCAAAGGTGAAAGGTCATAGCTCATTAAATATGCAAAAACACCTTATTTGTTCTGACGTACATATACATGTATAGGCCATTTGTACCCTGCCAGGGGATGCTACGCTTTGCGTTGACTTGTTGATTTGGCTTTTCTCCTCCTTCAAATTATCAACACAGTAATGATATTTTTTTCAATCAATTTTTCTAAACAAAGTGTAGGTATATGTTTCTGATGAAAAGGTTTGAATACATGGGCAGAATATATACTCTTTTGGGATAACCTACATATATTACTCTAAAAATGGTCAATTTACACTGTATATGGGAAACTGATTTTTTTTTTTTTTAAGTGTTGCCAAGTTAAGATTTGAATGGTTATCTATAATACATGCATTTACTTTATTCTGTTCTTGGTAGAGAGGTACAACAATTTGTAATTTAATTTTTGAATAAGATACTAAACTCTGCTGTTAAATTACGACAATTTTCTTTCGCATCACACAGCAATATGAAGACACCATGAGGAAACAGAAGTTGGGCAAGCCAGTCGATCTCTCCGAGCTACCCGCTCTTCCAGAGTTCCCTCCCTTTCCTTCTCAATCCGGTGGCCAGACTGCCCCACCAGTAGCCCAAGCCGTTGCCCCAGCAGCACCCCCTGCAGCTGCCCCGGTAGTTACGGCAGCGGCGGGGGCTAGTGCCCCTCAAGCATCCCGGCCCGCTCCCTCAAGGCCTCCAGCACCAACGAGGCAGATGTCAGGTGAAGAGGCATTAACCCTTTCCGGGCAATTTTTTTTAAAGGGCTGAATTGATCACATGCTGATCTTCAAATCGGCTACAATAACATTTTTCTTTTATTGCTGCATTGTGTTAATAAAAAACATCTCTGAAAACATTATACATGGGTAGAGACTTTCCAATACAAAAAAAGGATTTGAATGCTTATTTTCCTTTTTAGAATTCCTGGCATTAACCACAATATGATCATGCAAAGAAAATGGACATAGTTTGTGCATATTTTTCGTTCCCCTTTCGACTTTCTTGTACACTTTTTGGTTTTACTTGTCTTAGTGGCCACCTCTCTGTAAACGCCACCTTTCTATAGTGGCCATGTATTTTTATCTCCCTCAAAAAAGAAATGTGTGTCATAGAACCTGTCTAGAAAGGCCACCTGTCTACAGTGACCACTCTCTCTGTCTCCCTTTTCATCATCAATAGTGTTCTGTCAGTTTATGACAGGTTCAGTGACCCAATCAGAATTCTATATCAAGTGTCTCTCCCAGTGGCCTTTATAAACAGTTTCAGTGACCCAATCAGAATTCTATATCAAGTGTCTCTCCCAGTGGCCTTTATAAACAGGTTTGACTGTACTACTACTAATAATAATGTCTCTACCTAGTTTATGTGACTTCTTCTTTTTATTGGCTTGTTTGCAGCTAAAGAGAACATCGGCATCTTGAAGGACAGGATAACGCAATTCTTTTTAGACAGGTTTCACTGTACCTCTTTAATACCTAAGTCATCTTACATCTTCTTTTCATTGGCTTGTTTGCAGCTAAAGAGAACATGTACCAGCGGAACATCGTCGTCTTGAAGGACAGGATAAAACAGTTTAAAATGCTGGCCTTGGAGTCCAAGAAGAGCGGAGATATATATGAGGCTAAGAGGTTACTCAAGATTGCTAAGGTACTTCATCAACTATTGCTTTTCAAATTCTTGGTGCAATTATTGAGAATATTTAATGATGATGATAGAAATCGTTGTTAAATATTTGTTAAAGTACTTTGGGGAAAATATAGTTATATATTAGGGGAAAGTCTCTTAGATGAATATTTTTCAGTTCTTTATTATCAACACCAACATTTATAGTCATCATCATCATCATTGTGATCACCATCGTCATCCTAATCTTTGAGATTTTAGATCTCAAGCACCATCATCATCATCATCACCACCGCCATCACCGTCATCACCACCACCATCATCATCATCATCATCATCATCATCATTATCATCATCATCATCATCATCATCATCATCATTGTCCCCCTTACCAATCCAAATTCCATTTGACATGTATGTTTATTTATCAATTTCATCATCATCATCATCATCATCATCATTATCATCATCATCATCATCATCATTATTGTCCCCCTTACCAATCCAAATCTCATTTGACATGTATGTTTTTTATCCCTTTCATCATCATCATCATCATCATCATCAATTTTGCCTCAATTATATCCATCAAATGCACCACCCTTCTACACACGAAATGATTATTTTTGTAATTTTTTCATCAGGAAATCGAGCACATGTTAAGTGCTGCTGAAGGAGGCCTGCCTGTCAATCTCGACTCAGTAAGTGAACAAGTCTTCCCTCAATCAAAAATTCAAGAGAATTATGAAATTTCAAAGTTGTATAAATAGATCATACACAAATTTGCAACTCCTTGTCGTAACTTTAGAGGATCTCACCCATAACCTCTGTTCTTATAATAATAATAATAAAGGATATTTATATAGCGCACATATCCACCGAGCAAGGTGCTCAAGGAGCTCCGAATATTACCCGGCTCTGCTAGGCTGCCGATTTTGGCGCTCACAGCGTTCAAGGAATTCCTTCCTACCGGTATCCATTTAACACCTGGGGGGTGTTTCACAAAGATCCTAAGTAGAACTTAACTCTAAGTTGGACTTAAAAATTATGGACAGCCATCAGAGTCTTTAAATGAAATATATTCAACAGCAGAAATTCAAGTATTTTAGACTTTTTATTAATTCCACATCCAGAACATGAAATCTCCTTGATGATAGAAAATATGAATGATTTCAATAAACAATGAATGCCTTTCAAAATAACTTTTACAAAATATTTTCAAAGATGCTAATGGCTTTCCATATTTTTTAAGTCCAACTTAGAGATAAGTTCAACTTAGGATCTTTGTGAAACACCCCCCCCCCTGGGTAGAGAGTGGCAAATGTAGATTAATAATAACAATAATTTTGTATACCCAGGGTAGCCTCATCAGCTTCAATGCTGTTCTTCCTGAGGCCCCTGTAAGTATTATTACCCCAGTGAATGACAGGTACCCATTTACACCTGGGTGGAGAGTTTCTCTGTTCTTCGATAAATATATCATGAATTTCTATTTTCTCTACAGAAATGTATTTGTTACACGTCATACATTTAATTGTAATTATTGTTGTTATGTTTTTACACGATCCCTTTCTGAAGTAGGTCTAGAGTCATTCATCAATAACCAGGCAATCTGCTCTGAGATCTTTTGGGAGCCATCTTGGTACTCCCACCCCCTCTTTATTTAGACTTTTAAAAATTCAAATTTGTTGCTGTTGTTGTTGTAAGTCTGTCAGGTTATCTTATCATGTATTTCCAATAGATACCTAAGGTTCCTCAAAAGGATCTTTTTGGAGCCATTATGGTACCCCCACCCCCTCTTTATTTAGACTTCTTAAACTTCAAATTTGTTGTTTTTGTAAGTCTGTCTCATGTTATCTTATGTATTTTCGATAGATACCTAAGGTTCCTCAAAAGGAGCCCGAAGCCGTCTCCCCTCCGACATCACCGGAGCCGGAAGGAGGCTTTGAGACGGTTGCCGATGGCAACGCTCAGGAAGTGTACGCAAGGTTGATTGCCACCCTGCAAAAACAAATTGAGGTTTGTGAGCGATTTCTTTAAGAGTTGAGATGAATGCATTCTTTAGTTTTTAGTGAAGTGATGATAATTATTGAATTTGAGGAGAGAGAAAGAGAAGGGGAAAGGAAAATGGCTTTAGAGTTAGTTTAAGAGGTGAGAATTAATGCATTCTTCAGATTTTAGTGCTGTGATGATTGGTGTTGAATTTGGGGAGAGAGGGATGGTGAGAGAAAGAGAAGGGGAAAGGGGAATTGAAGAAAGGAAAGGTAAGGAGAGAGGGAGGGAGAATGAGAATGTATGAGAGAGAATAACATAAAGATAGAGAAAGAGAAAGCTAGGTTAAACTTTACATATCCTTGGTAAAAGGTGAGATTGAAAGCTCAAAGCTATTTAGAGAGGGCAAGAGAGAGAGAGGGAATTAGAGAGATAAAGAGAGAGAGAGAGAAAGAGAGAGAGAGAGGGAGAAAAGAGAGGGATACATAAACGCAATTGCAGAAGCAAGGAGCAGGGAAGGGAAACATGAAAAGTGGTCTTTACCGGCAGGTGGTCTTTATGTGCAGGTCCTTTATTGATTACAGTTTGCAATGAGAAACCATTTTCAAGGGAAACAAAAAGTGTGGTCTTTCTATACAGGTGGTCACTAAATCAGATCTGACTGTACATACATGTACAGTGTCCGTAGCATGCATTTGAAATTAATTAATTATATTTTCTCGTTCACAGGTATGTGAAGGGAATGCCAAGGTGTATGGAAAACTGGGCAACATCAAATCAGAAAAGAGGTAAGTGATGTGTGGTTTTACTGTTCGGGGCCCTGTTTCACAAAACTTGTTATCAAGAACAAGGTACAATAACTGTTACAAGCTACTGAAATCGTGGCATTTGATTGGCTGAGAGCAAATTTGTTCTGAAAATTTAGCATTTGTTATTGATAACAAGTTTTATGAAACATCATATTTTGATGAGAGCAAGTAAAAACTTGAAAAAAGCAATTTAGGTTTATACATGTACATGTCACTGGTGTTAAAGTTCAAGGGTCACGCATTTGATATGACACAGCACTAATGTCCTTTGTACCTATGTTATTACCAAATGAAAAAAGATGTCATTCAGTCACTCAATAGTGTCTGACAATGAAGTCTAGCAAGTAAACGGGTTTCCTTGCATAATTTGAATACTAGGACACTGCTAATGTTTAAATTTCACAAATGGGACATACATGACATATTCATAATTCCTGCAAAGTTCTACAGAATTTGATGTTGGCTTCAAAAGGGACATAGTATCTTTAATATCAAGACTATTTTGCTTTGTTGTGGACAGGTTTCAAGAATTTCAGGACTCTTGTCAACAGGATCTCGACTTGTTGATCTCCAAGCAGTCGAGAGGGGAAGCCTTACCCAGGCACCATTATGAGCAGAGAACACTGCCCTCTGTCAGGTCAGTCTAGAGAATATTTAATGATTTATATACGTAATAGCATTATTTGATTATTTATTTATTCATGTAATCAATGTTTTTGTATGGTCTAGACCCTGTGCTATAAACAATTGATATTAATCACAGGTATTTCACTGGTCATTGCTGGAGGAGCAAGAATGAAATCATTTCACAAATGCTCTTCTGGGAGCCTCCAAGGGGCAAACGCACCAGAGGTCGCCCAGCAATGTCCAGGTAGAAAAGACACCTGTCTGCCAAGGCAGGAACTCCCAAAGATCATGGAGAGTAGAACTGAATGGAAAAAGCTTGTCAATTCAGTGCGAGTCGCTCGACCCAATAGTAGTATGTACATAAGAGATACATTAGGAGACTGCAAACTTGCCATTGATTGAGGACTTGCATTTGATTTGGATCAATCGCAACTCTTTATAGGACAGGCCCTTGTCTTTGTCAATTAAGCTTAATACATTATTATGATACTGTAAAATAGTACATGATGTGGTTCAAGTGAGGTTAGAAAAATGGTCTCTATTTCCAGGTGGTCTTTAAACTATGGTTCTTGTAATACAGATTTCAATGAAAAGTACTGCGCAGGATACACACAATCGCAACGTTGTGTCTTTACAGCACTTAAGAGTATCATTTCTTACCTATCAATTTATTATTCTTGTTGTTATTTTCTGTCAAACAGACTTTGTCCAGATGTCAAAGAGAATGAGGCTGAGATAACCATTGTGCAGGGATTGCAGCTGCACTGTCCCAATGGTAAGAGAAAAAAAAATGCTCCAGATGTGTTGGTATTAGACAAACTAGGAATTAGATTGACTTGAAATTAGACCAAATGAGCGATAGACCAAATTGGTAGTAGACTTATTGGAGATTAGACCAAATGACTATTAGCCTACATGGTCATTAGACCAAATGGTTATAAGACCATGTGGATAGTAGACGGGCCGGGTATAGACCATATGGGAATAGACCAAATGGGTAGTAGACGAACTGGTTGTAGACTAAACGGCAATACACCAGCTTTAACTGCCTGGATTTGGAAACGGGGAACTAAATAATCCGGGGGCGTTTTACAAAGGCTTTTTTTAATGACAAATGACAAAAATCAGTGACAATTCTGCTGATAACCAATCAAAAGCAAGGATTTCATCTTATGCCAAAAACTGTCATTTGTCACTGATGACAAGTTTTGTTAAACGCCCCACAAAACCTGCATGTCTTCTTCCCTGTTACATATGTGACCCGGCACCACAAAACCAACAAAAAGTCGCAACCAGCGATTCTCCGTAATCAGCTAAAATGTCAATTTAGGTGAAAAAAATAGATTTTTGTTTTTTTGCATTTTCTGAAAGAGTGGTCTTTTCTGTACCTAGTATCAAAATTTGGAAGTCTAAAACATAGTAGAAGATGTGTTTTAAACGGTTTTTCTAGACCAGTTTTTTTCGCACAGCCTTCGGTCTCTTCCAAAATTTGATCACTTTTCCCGAGCGAAATTATGGTAGTCCGGAAATGGTCGGTCGTTGCTAACGGGTCGTGCTACGCGGGCTGTGATTGGTCCGTTATAGCAATCAGTGCGGCGCGCCATTTTGTTTGTATCCGCTTTCACATCCGAGTTCCAGATTTGCGTTCGTCTTATATTCTCCGTTAACGACTTCGAGTAGCTTGATTGTACATCACATATCCAGAATTTGTTGATCAAGAGTAAGAACATTATTATATTAAATATAATCATATAATCTCAAATGTATAAAATTTTTATACATTTGAGAGTGACAAGTTGCGAAAAAGTCTACAACGTCGTTACAATGCCAGGTTTTGTACGTGAGCAGAGCCGTGGGATGGTACCGGGGTGCACCAACGCAGATGCCCGGGTAGCTCGGGCGGTCAACGAAGCGATGATGCGGGGGCTAGCTGCGGGGGATCAGGCCAACCTTACAGCTTTGCTTACTGAACACTTCGGGCAAGACAGCGACGAGAGAATTCCTGATAATGTGGTTACAAATAATTGCCCAGATGTATACAAAACAAGATAGGTGACAAGCAGTGTTATGTAAGGGGGAACAAAAAGACTCCGGGTCCACCATGAATAGGCATTGTCTAGTGCAGGTGTCTCGGCACTATGTTGCAGTTCACTTAATCTGTCCAATTACAACTCTATACATTTACAACATAATAACTTTTGAAAGACTTAAGTCCACACATTGAAACCTCAGAAACATAATGAACAGACTATGTTTGACCATCAGGCCAACTTTCAGCCTAATCTGAAAATCTCTTCATAGTGGTTGCTATGGCCTTTTGATTCACCCTTCTATTGATTTCCCTGTGGTTTGCTTGCTCCGCATGCTTGAATAGCCCCAAACTTTAAAGCTCTCTTTCTCACAATTTAATACCAGTAACCTCCCTCACCAGCTCTTTTCATTCACTAAATTGAAAGGGTTAGGAAGCTTCAATTTGGACAAGTAATATACCATTTTAATGAGGAGAACTTCTTCTTTCATAATCAGATGAAATCAGGAAAATAATTTTTTGCGACATTTTGGTGGTTTTGTGGTGCCGGGTCACATATAATTGATATTTAATCATGCTTCTAAACAATAATGCCATTCATAGATTGTCATTACTCTATGCCCCATACCATCTAAAACTTTTGAGATCAACTTGATTACAAATAAGTTCAGCCAGAGAGAGAAGGGGGGGGGGGGGGGGTGAGGAAGAGAGAGAAAGAGGGGAAGGGGGGGGGGGATGGAAGAGAGAGAGAGAGAGAGAGAGAGAGTGGGGAGGGGGATAAATGAAGACAGTTTAAAAGCAAGGAATAGAGAAGTAGAAAAATTTCATTTGTCACAGATGCAGATTATTGCGCCATTGGGTTCTCCTATAAAGATGAGCTACATGTTTGAAACTGTGTCAATCTTCTACATGTATACTTTAATGAAACACAGGAAATTCCAAGTTATTATGATTCTGATTCTATTTTTGTCATTTCATTTTTAGAAAAAGATTCAAAGGACATAGACACCTATATAAAAGCAGAATTTCCTTATCCATCGGTAAGTTATCATAATAATAATAATAATAATAATAATCAAACGGTGCTTATAAAGCGTTTTCCACCAAAGTCTCTTAGTGCATTATGCAAGTCAGGTGTGCTTGCTTTACATTACTTTGTGTACCAATGCACAGATAGTCTTGAGTGATGATGTAAAGAAAATGCAGATTCAAATAAAAACATTTTTCAAGTGTTTTTAACTTAAAAAAATATACCCCACCACACCCAAAATAATTATAAAGTTGATGCTTCCAAAGCAATCATATTCTCATGGAAGGTGCTCAAAGGTGCTCCAATATTACTCCGGCTCTGGCTAGGCAACTGCTTTTCGTTGCTCACAGCATTCAAGGAATACATTCCAAACGGTACCCATGTAACACTTTAGTGGACAGTGGCAAATGTACATTAGTGCTTAACTGGGGCTCATACATGCATCTCTAGTCAAGTTTTTTAAAGAGAAAGTTCAGTTCTGGCCATGCGATTGCATTGTGAAAGAAACATTGTGGAATCGATCAGAAAAGGTTGATCATCTAGCATATAAGTATTGGTGTGTACTGCAAGGTTCTGGAATCATAAAAATGATAATAAATTTGGCCCAGTCTTGGTAGAGTTACAAGCACTGTACACAGAAAGATATATATGGGACTACACGAACATGTGGCATACAAAATCTGTCCCGATTTTGATGATGTAACATGCCATATTTAGAATATTAAGGCATCTGAAGAGCCATGCTTTTCTGGGAATTTGTTTAATCTGATGTTCTTCCACACTTGCATAATAACATTGATAACCCTAACAAATCATTTGTCACCTCTCCCCAGAACACAACCTTCTCTTTAACCCTTACTGTACTGGGGGGGGGGGGGGGGGGGGGTGGCCTGGGAGGCCCCCCCCTCGACATTTTCAGAGATCGCGCCGCAACCGCTCGGAATTTCGAATTGTCGTTTCATGACTTTTTTCCCTCAAGTCTTTTTGATACCATTTTGATACCATTTTCGTCAAAATCGGATATACCTGTAAGGTGTTACATAATAATTAGTATGCGCATGTCATAAAAAAAGTGCTATAATTGCATATATTCATGTACAAGCAGAAATGTGAAGATATGAATTGATATCAAATTGCTTTTATATGTTTCTCAAAGTAACTTGATGTATTTCAGAACAAAAGAATACATTAAAAATAAAACAATAGATATAATAAGAAATAAAAAACAATGAAATACATAAGAAAATAAATAGTTGAAAATCGCATTAAATTTGCATAAATTATCATTATTAATTACATCAAATAACTATTTTGTGTTAGAAAAGAAGTTTCAACGTTACAAAAGTGGAGTCTGACAATTTTTGTAATGATTCTAGTTCCCTGTATATTTCTAGATTAGATATTCATGAATGCGTAATTTGCGTATTCATAATTTATGCAAATTAACCTATGCATTTTCAAATATCATAGAAATAATGAAACCTCATGAATTTGAGATGAAGGAAACATTTATTCAATACATTTTCAAGATTCTTCACAAGTCTACGGACAAATATGTAGAGTTTTCTGTAAAATGCATAAAATTAGCATTTTGCATAATTAATTAGGCTTTAACGACAAAAATTTGCATATTAGGAAAAAACTAATTATACCATCTTGTTCCTTACGTAAATATCTACAAACATGCAAATTTTCGCGTTCATCGGACATTCGACGGCCGAGATCATAGAGGGGCCTCCCAGGCCCCCCCCCCCCCCCCCCCCCCCCCCCCCCCCCCCCCCCCCCCCCCCCCCCCCCCCCCCCCCCCCCCCCCCCAGTCAGAGAGTGCTCGAAATAGCCCAGTACAGTAAGGGTTAAACTGCTCGACTACGACACCTCTACGGTGTCACAATGTTTTTTTCCAACCTTGCATTTATCCTGATAGCTTTTATTTCTTAATTTTGTCAATCCGCCCAGGACGAGCCCCCGACCCATAAGACAGGATGGGCGAAAGGAGCCGATAATCCCCAGTACAACTTGAGCTACACCGTGGAGATCAACCGCAGCTCCAGGACTTTCAACTCGGCCATCAAAAGGAAGGCAATCAAACTTGAAATCATCTACAGCAAGTTAGTATCTTTATTTGACTGCTCTAGATAATGACAGTGTAATGTGTGTGAGAGAGAGAGAGAGAGAGAGGCAGAGAGAGGCAGAGAGAGGGAGAGAGAGAGAGAGAGAGAGAGAAAGAAAGAGAGAGAGAGATAGCGGTGGCAGACTAGAGAGAAGATAATTTAGTATTTAGTATTTCATATGTACTTTGTTTGCTTGATAGAGAGAGAGAGAGAGAGAAAGAGGGAGCTGAACGTCTTTCAACTCAGCCATCACTAAAGATGAGATTTGAACCCACAAACTCTCGGGTAATTTATCAATATTCCACATTTTAGCACTTTGAAAGGTATTTTAAGGCAATTTCGCTCATCCATTGATCATTAATGACCCTTTGATATGTTCTTTTGTTCTTTCATTCATTCAGAGGCTTATTACGAGGACACAAGACGTTAGGAACAGCCAGCCTCAAACTTGCCGAACTAGAGAACAAATGTGAACTGCACGAATCAGTACCGGTAAGTATACCGAGTTTGGAAATGATCACAAGGACATTGAATGCGTGGATAGTAGTAGACGTAGTACATGTATTGGTATAATAGTAATAGTGATGTTGTAATAGAACAGAAAGTGGTAGTGGTGGTGGTGGTGGTGGTGGTGATGGTGGTATTGGTATTAGTAATGATATTAAATATTGGTGGTGGTGCTTGTGATGATGCATACCAGCCAACTGTTCCTGTTTCCTATTTTTTTCACAAAAGAATGCAAAAGCAGAATTTGGCTTGTTTTACCTTGTGCCGCGATTTGAGAGTTTGCGTATTGCGTGCGTTGAATGGCTGCACGATCGAGCAACGAATTTGTATTAGCTTTTTTGTACAAATTTACCACGTATTGCCAGTAACACTGCCTTTGCATACATGGCCATGGTAAGGCCGTGCGATCGGGTTAAGGTACAGATTTCTTATTTTCAAATGCTGGCAGGTATGGACTGACGGTGGTGGTAATGGATGGGGCGGTTGTGGCAGTCGTGTTAGAAGTAGTAAGAGCAGTACCAGAAGCAGTATTAGTAGTAGGTAGTTGCAGTATCAAAAGTAGCAGAAGTACCAGTAGTAGCAGTAGCAGGAGTAGGTCGTAGTACTAGTAGTAGTAGTACTGTATTCAATGGTTGTGGTGGTGATGCTGGTGGTAGTAGTGGTGGTTGCTGAAAACAGCTTTGAATGATCTTAAAATGTTCATGATTCAAAGAAAAGGACAGCATCCTTATCTATACCGGTACTCTTGTCATTTACATGAATAACTGTGGAAAACACAGCAAGATATATTGCACGAGGAATCTTTCATGGCTTCATCTAAAGTTACATTTTTTCTCTCTCTTCAAAATGCAAGCTGATGGATGGAAGGAGAGAGATCGGAGGAAAGATTGAGGTCAAAGTTCGCCTTCACCACCCCCTGTCAGGGTTGAAGGAAGACTTTGTGAAGGAGAAATGGCTTATCATCGACAGCGTTCATAAGAAAACAAAGGTATGTGACAAAGATGCTGTTGCGTCAGGTTATATTTAGTTTTGTAAGCTACTATTTAAAGGTATTATAAGATGGTGAAGCGGATCCTAATCAAACAACTGGTTCAGAGCGTACACGTGACCTGTCATTTATTCTGCCTAACACGTAATTTTACTAATTTCCGGTTCAGTAAAATTATGTCATAAAACAAATAAAACATCATCTTATTAAACAAATCATACACATCATTTTGTTCAGGCATTATTAAAATTACCCACACTTGGTACCTTCAAAACAGTCAAAACACCCTTGGCTATTGCCTCGGGCGTGTTAGACTCTTCCAAAGGTACCTTGTGTGGGTAATTCTTACGAAAGCCCTCACTGATGTGTATTATTTGTTTACTATTCTTTGGCTAATGACCAAAATAGTCATTAAAAATGTTGATTTTATCAAGATAGCTTTTCATTGCTTTTGTCAAACTTGGCACTGATTGGTCATTTTTAGGGTTCGATTGAGATTCGGTATACATACAGTTTTACACGTAGTATAAGTAGTTACTTATGATTTTGTTTTGTGTCTCACACCCAGATATCAAGCCCTCCAGCTGCAGCTTCTCAGGTAAATTTCATTATCGGTTTTTATTTTTGGATTTAAAGCCTGTCTGCACTACTTGTAGCTACTTGCGCCCTCTATATAGCGAACAATGCCGTAACCCTTGGTCCCGACTCCCCCATGGTCCCTTTTTTCTTATGTTAATTGAGAGCTGATTTGATGAGATAACCACCTGTCGGTGACTTTGCAGGGAGGTCTAATCCCTCCTGGCCAAACTAGTGCAGGTAGGCTTTAAGTTAGTATTATAATCATTATATTACTTTTCATATTATCTTTCAGGACCTCAATCAGAGAGAAATAACATTTCAGAAATTCAATATGAATTCCTATTGCAATTTCTTTTAAAACGTTGACAATTAATTTCCATCATTTTTGTTTGTTGTTTCATGTACAAGCAGAAGCAATCTCCATCAAAATCATCTTCAGGTGGTGGCAGGTCGTCTGGAAGCGTACAAAGGTAAGCTTTTTAAAAATTTATTTCTATTTTAATCTCTTCCTTTAAACCGATCCAGGAACTAATATTCACAGGCTGGCATTACATTACAAGTCTAATGAAAACTGTTTTAGCAACCAACTGAATGGAAAGACCATGGCCTGAATTCACAAAGGAGGTTTAAATTTAACCCATGGTTTAAATCTTCATTCAAAAGTTCAGGGGGAAAAAAAATGAACATCAGAAAATACATAATTGAAATATCTTGAAAATCTCTGAGAGACTAGGTTTTTTTTCTTGATGGGACCACCTGTCTATAAAAGCCACCCAAGGAAAACAGAAAAAGTAGCCATTGTAGACAGGTGGTCTTTCTAGACAGGTTCTACAAACTTATTTCTCACTAGAGAGAGACAAAATGCATGGCCACTATGTACAGGTGGCATTTATAGACAGGTGGCTGCTAAGACAGGTTTGACTGTACATGTAAATCCTATGTAAAATGTAAAACATGGTTGTTATTTGACCAGGCAAAGTCCTTTTTCTCAAAGCAGACATTTTGCTTGTCATTTCATTCCAAAGAGTTGTCTGAAATGGGATAATCTTTTTGGGTGTGCTGTGCTTTTAGAATATAAAAACAAATATACAACAGACACAAAGTATCATGAGTGTAATTTGTGTTTTTGTTCATGTTTTTTTGCTCCCTGTAATGTCCCTGTATGTTCACACAGAAAGAAAGATTCCAAAGTATGCGAGATCACCTAGCTTTAATGAGAGATTGCATACATCATCAACATGACATTGCAGCTGCTATTAAACTTTAAAAACAAAAACAAATCTATTAATCAGAAATTGTACTTGTATTTTACATGGGAATCAAAACTATTTTACTTTGTAACTGGTACCATGTATATTAAAAAAACACACCACAGATTCGACTTTGAAGGTAGCAAAGTGTAGACATCATCATTGACATTGCAGCTGCTACCATTACAACAAAAATTAACATATTCGTCTTTCAATCAGAAAGTGTATTTGTATTTTTTTATTTGAGTCAAAATGATGGTTAATACATTGTAGCTGTATATGAAGAAAAAAAAAACTGACATGCTTCTATAGCAGGTATAGAGTATATGAACTGAAATATGTAATGAGGAATATCTTGATAAAGCATGTGCTAATATAGATCCCATCTATACATCTTAAAGGGATCGTTTAACAATGTTACATCTGAGATACACGGCCCTATGTGTTATCAGTGTCTGTGATATGGTGTAATATTGAAGCCTTAAAAAAATTGCGCTTCAAAATGATCAAGAAGTGCGTCAAAAAAGTAAAATTCTTTGAGTGACCGGTTTTACCATACTCGTTTCCCCCAATTGACTGTAGTGTCATGAAAACGGTTTTCAAAATTTGTAATTCCAATCATAAATATCTTGATAATCAGACAGGCGATCGGCTTGTAAAAGTCATGGGGTTCCTGACTGACCTAAAGGTTTATAATTTTCATTGCATCATGAGCTAAATCCAGAATTTTGTTTCAGAATTTGAGAGAAAGTTACCGGATCCCTTTAACCCTGCCAGGTCAGCATTTATTGTTCAGACTAAATTGATCACACATTGTTCTTCAAATTGGCAACAGTAGTAGTTTTCTTTCATAATTGCTACATTGTTAAAATAAATGTAATGTCTCTGAAAATAATATACATGGGTCATAATGTAGTGTTGAAAAATTGAAATAATGGGAGAATTGATGGAAAAACAATGATTGTATCTCCACATGTTTTGAACATTTATGTCTTTATATTTCGAGTGAATTTGATTGTTGCTAGTAGATGTGTGCATTTGTTTTAAACAAAATTATTGGTTCATAAAAAATGTCTCCTCTGTGTTATATTTTTCCAGATTTTTATGATCCTAACAAATTAGAAAAAAATCATCAGTTTTTGTGCAAATACGATCACATGAAGGCCTGCATGTATTTTCAATCATTGAGAGAGATACATGCATTATAGTTGAAAATAGTTTAAAGAATTTAGGAATTAAAGGAAAGATTTCACAGGTACAGGAGTAGGATGACACCAACAAATTGTTGGTGGATGAAGAAAGAAGATAGAATTAAGAATCGCATTTTAGTTTACGTTGACTGAGCATAAATTAACAACAAAATAGTTTGTAAAGTTACATGTTTGGGAGTATATATAAACCATTCTTAATATATATTTATTTATCATTTTAAACTTACGATTATTTAATCATATATCTTGTGTCACTGCCTTTGATTTGTACTGTATATTCAGTACTAGAATGTCTGTATCTTTTTGCATTATTAAGTTGAATAAAGTATGTTTTTGGTAAAGAAAACAAAATCAAGAAACAGCCCCATTTTTTAATCAGTTAGTGTGGTGTCATGTGAAAAATTGGATCTAACATGAATGAGCATCTAAAGAGTTTCTTCCAACCTCTTAAACAACTCATTACTTTCAGAGCTTTCTTCACGAATGTTGCTTTTATGAAAATTAATACATTTATTAGTACTCTTTGTCATACCCTTATACTTTTTTATACTACATGTATCTCTGTATTCTTCCTGTGTGTCCTCTCTCTCTCTCTCTCTCTCTCTCTCTCTTGCTTTTTAATACTCTTTCCCTCCCCATCTTTATCTCTCTCTCTCTCTCTCCCTCTCTCTGTTGCACAGCAGGATTTAAAAACAAAATCTTTGAAGGCCTTTTCTGCAAAAGCAACAAAGCGATGAAAGGAACAGCTATTGTTGAAATCCAATGAATTCAGACCCATCCTTCTTTTGTTAATCATAATTGCATTGCTTCTAATCAATGAAATGTCATGCCTAATTTTCAGGCAAAGAGAGGGGTTTATTGCCGTTTGGTCTACAACTAATTTGTCTAAATACCCAATTGGTCCATTCCTATATGGTCTACACCCAGCCATCTACTATCCACATGGTCTAATAATCATTTCATCTACTTATCATTTAGGCTAATAGCCGTTTGGTCTAATCTCCAATAAGTTTACTACCCATTTGGTCTATTGCTCATTTATTCTTCTTTCCAATCAGTCTAATACCCAGTTTGTCTAATGCCCATTTTGTCTTCTATCCATATGGTCTAATACTAATTTGATCATAAACAATTATCAAATTCTCATTAGAAGTTATAGATGGTAGACAAATAGGGCATTGGACAAACCGAGAATGAGACTAACTGTTTATTACACTAAACGAACAATAGACCAAGTGGGAAGTAGACTAATTGGAGATTAGATCATATAATAATAACAAAGTCTTTTTTATATACATGTAGCGCATAATACAAAATTCTCTATGTACTTTATATGGAAATTAAACCAAATTACTATCAGCCTAAATGGTCATTAGATCAAATGATAATTAGACAAAATGATTATTAGACCATGTGGGTAGTAGACAGGCTGGGTGTATACCATATGGGAATAGACCAAGAGAGGGTCTCCCCCCCCCCACCACCCACCCCCTACCCCCACCACCCAACTCCATGATGGAAATATTGACTCTCAGACATTGGTAGTAAAATAATCAATATCTTTAAAAGTAGACATTCTTCCCCCCCCTGCCAAGAAAATATCTTCTTTTTCATCTGAATACATGTACTTGTTTTCCTGTCCATATCAGAAAATCTCTGTTTATTGTTCCCTTAGAACATCGGCTACTGACTGCGTTGAAATACTCAAATGGGAGATTGGAACGCTCAAGAAAAAGGTCAGTTCGCTTGTGTTTTTATTTTTTAAAACTTTCATCTGCATGTAGTACAGCTTCTGTTTCACTGACGCGTGTTTGTTCACCATGATAGTGATATAGATGCTGGTTAATGTGAAAATGATGATGATTGAATGATTAATTGATGGATTTATGAGATGAAACTGAATAGGCCTGTCTTCATCAGTTTGAGTTTGCCATATAACCGCTATTTTCAGACTCGGGATATTATCCCGAAGCTCGAAATTGCATTTTTACCAGACCGATACGCTCATCACAAACTAGCTCGGACAGGCGCAAATTAGCCCGCTATTTCCCGAATTTGGCAGATTTTAATGAAGTTTAATGTGAAGGTACATGATATCAAAACACAGCCTGAGTTTGATTTCGTAGTATGTAGGTGAAAGGTAAGTGCTCATTAAATATTCAAAAAAATATAATTGTGTATCCTAAATGTGGTTTTCTTCCTTGTCCAGTAATATAAAAGGATAGTTAAATGGCGGTAACTTGTTCTGACTTAAATAGGCCATTTGTATCTGGCAAGGGGATGCTACGCTTTGCCATGAATTGATATAATTATGACATTTTCTATTAGATTTGATAATTTATACGTTATATGTTATATGTTATATCTCTGACGAAGTTGCTTTGATGGCCATGATTTTCCCAAAAGACCATGATTAACAAATGAAAACTTAGACCTTAGACCAACTTCCTTTGTTTTAAACATTAAATATCTGAATAATATATCTCGTTATCACGGTAGATTGGTGACATGCAAGCGCACAAGCAGCAGGTCCCTAATGAGTTTATCATGAGCTACAAGGCCCTTCAAGAAAGATTACAGAAGCTACAGACGTTCTTGAAGGAAGGCGGATCACAGGCTAGATATGGTATGGTACTAGGGCTGTTCACATAAAGCAATTGAGTTATGGGGCATTGAAATTCTATATGTCACTTTCAACCAGTTTCTCACTGTGTGTCCCCCCCCCCCCCCCCCCCAAAAAAAAAAATAAATAAAATAAAATAAAATAAAATAAAATAAAATAAATAAATAAATAAATAAAAAATTGATAAAAGAAAAGATAGAGATTATCACTATCAAACTTAACACTGTTGAAATTTACCACCAGCATTTTTTTTTACCATGTTTAATTTTCTGTTTTTTATTTTTATTAAAATAATTAACTTTTACCAATACAGAAATTTATAAAGACTGTCTCCCAATTTATGTCCCTATTAGCAAAAGAGATGCTCCATTCCATGCTCCCCCATGCCCATTCCACAACCATAACTCGCCAACCCTCACTCTGACCTTTGACCTTTGACCCACAGCCTATGTCTCAAGGTTACAAGCCTTGTCACCAAACCTTCTAGCCCAGGCCAAAGAGTCACTCCAGGCAGGTCAGAAGGACAAAGCATCCATGTTCATGACCAGGAGAAAACTTGTGGATGCTGAAGTAAGTTCACCAACAAGATTTCTTGTTAGGCGATAACAAAAGAGATGTTGTATTGCCCTTCGGGACCGACCCAAAAGTCTTAAAATCTATTTTAAAAAATAATACCGTTTGTAGAAAAAAATGTTTAATGATAATAAAAAAATATATATTTTGTTTGTTTAAATGGGATATAAATGCATAAAATCATCAAATTATTCCCAAATTCTTACCCATCTTCTGCCCAAGTTTAAAAATCCTGCTGGCGTAAACATGCAAGTAGACCCAGCCTCGTGTATGTGTGTATACCATGCACTGCACCAGCTAGTAACCAGCAAGATTTTGGGCGACGTTCCCGTTTTTCAGTTATTTAGGCGACGGTCAAGGGGGAAAAAAAGTAGGAAACCCAACTGACCGACCCAGGTCCTGGCACCTAAAGGGCAATACAACATCTTCTTCTTTTTTTAGTTCTTCGGTTAATTCCCTCCTATTTTTTAAAAATGTATAGAGCACTGTCGACAACATATCTTTTGATTACTTTTAGGTCGCTCATATCTGTTCTTGAAATTAGGGCATGGACAGAGATTTGACACAGGTGCAACCAAACTCTGATGCAGTACACATCAAAACCTCCAAATGCAAATGCAACAATTTCTGAAATCAGTAATTTATATCGGTCATTTTACTTGTGTTACCTACACCTGTGTGAAGTTTGTGAAGTTTGTACACCATCAAATACCACTTATTGACCCAGCACTATGTGTGCAGACTGAAGCATTGATCCCAGGAACTCCTGAAAGAATATCTTTAAGATTTGCTTAGTCTGTAACCGTTTTACTGTGATTATATGTGCATATAATAAGACATTTAGAATACTGGTATTCTAACTTGGCTATTCTTTGAACATGTGCTTTGTTTCAAATTTCCAGATTGCTTCATTATCAAGAAGATAGAGCGCTAAGGTTTGATTGAAGCATCTTGCATCGGATGAAAACATTATGGAAGTAGTTGCCATGAATCCTAAGGGGAGCAAGAAGAGAGTTTGGATAGTGCCCTATTGTGAATCAGATGTCATGGTCATTTTCTTAACTCATATGTGAATGGATTTTAGCTGCATTTTAGAGAGAAAAAATCAGACATTAAACTTTGTTTCAAGAAAACCTGGTTGGTTAGTCCCTGCTCCCCCTCTTTCTCTCCCTCCCCTCCTCCCCTCCCTCCCCCTCCTCCCCATCCTCCCTCATCCTTCCCCCCTCCTTAAAGCCCCAATGCACTACTTTTTAGCTAGTTGTGCCCTTTTTATAGCAAACAATGCCTAAGCGGTGACCATTGGTCCCGCCACGATCCCATTTTTCTTATGTTAATTGAGAGCTAGGAGGTCTAATCCCTCCTGGCCAAACTAGTGCAGAAGGGCTTTAAACAAGTAAATTATTCTAGGGACAGTGACAAATCCAGGATTCTGTTGCCTGGCTGGGGGAAAGGTACAACTACAAAAAATCTCTTTTGTAACTTGAGTTCTCCTACATGGCTCAGAAGGGTTGAAAACAATAAAAACACAAAGGAGCAGGCTTGTACTTGTACCTTGTTTTTTCTTTATATCAACGTTCCATTGTATATTCTTTTCATTTAAAGCATTATATTCATATAATCCAGAGAGATGTATTTATTTGCAACACTTTCATGAGATTTTCCATGAATTCTTGTGATAGCTGTTAAAACTGTATTTTAGTTTATGTGTATATGAAACACATAATTTATGTTGATGCCATATTAATGATACCAATATTTTACTTGTATATTGTTGTATAGATCTTCTATATTCGGAAGTTGTGATATTAGTTTTCTACCATTAATGTAAGACACTCAATCATGAATTTGATAGGATTGCCAAAGATTGTTTATTTATGTCATAAAATATAGTTTATTTATTGTGCCTCAATGAGACAGAGAATTTTTAGTAAATTAATATGAGCTGGTTATAGGATTTATACAAAGTTTAGAATCATCTATGAATTCAGTTTAATAATGAAATTTGTAAATTTATGTTTAGATATGGACCAAAGTATGGTTGTACGCTCACAGTTTATTCAGAGCAGAGCTAGCTAGTTTTACAACATAAGTTCAACACTGCAAGCACTTTTCCCCCCATAAATTTTATGATATAAAAAGAAGAGTGATTTCAAGTTGGGTGTTAGTGTTTAGAGCAGTCAAGAGCTCTTAAATCAAGCTAAAAATTTGCTGATGAATTTAAGAGCCTGATACCGATATCAATATTGATAGCTGGACACTAACACCGAACTGGAAATCAACATTTGCTTAATCCCTAGAGGCTAGTGTTAGTGAATAGGACATTTGTACGCAAAATATTAACACCAACCAAAAAGATCGGTTAAGCAGACGACAATATGCTAAATCAATAACACGTACTAGCCACCGGAAGTTGACGATATTCAGAGGTCAAAGCCTTAACACCAGCTGATTTCCATTTCAGTGTTTAGGACTGGTGTTATTGTTTATTAAACACTAACACCAGCCCTAAACACCCAACTTGAAATCACTCAATGTCAGGGTTCTTCTCTTATTATTTTTTGTTCAAGGCATGATTTCGACTGATTTGACACACGGTGGAATAAGTATATTTGATTCATATTTATGTATAACAGATATACAAATCATGTTCATAGAATATAACGTTAAAAGTATTGTATTGTCTTTCATAATTTGCTTTTACACTTACCGGTATATTTTCATTTATTTTTCATTTGTCTGCTTGTCTGTTTACTTTAAAAAATTCTAATTTCAATTAACACATGTCTTAAGTTTTTGTATACCGGTAATGGTTTTTTTCTATTATTGTTGTTGCAATATTTAACAGGCTTTACACTCTTTCTTCTTTTTTAAACCAAAAAAATGTTTTTAATAAATAGTATACTTAGATGAATGCTTTATTGTTGGAATGATCACAAATAAAAGTGAGATCCTGACTCAAAGATCTCAAATAAAGGAAACATTGGTATTAAATTCATATGTATCCGGGAATCATTTACATATGTCATGATCTATCTATATTGTAGAAAAATTAGAAACTTATCAAATATAAAAATTAAAGGTTATTGTGATAGATAGAGAAAAAAAGAATTAGTTTTAACCGAATAGGAGAACAATAATAAAATATGAGAGAATAAAAGGAGAATAAATGCAATATTGTGAGAGAGAGAGAGAGAGAGAGAGAGATACATAACGGAATATGAGGAGAATTAATGCAATGTGTGTGTGAGAAAGAGAGAGAGAGAAAAGAATGCATATGAGAGAAATGAAACGATGCGTTGTGAGCTAGAGAAAGAACGAAAGAAGAGAAATTATCCAGACTGGCTTTTTGGCCCTTGTTCTATTGGAATAAATAGAATACCACCCTCACCCCGCCTTTAGGTTTAGAAGGGAAAATAAGATTCCAAGGAGATGAAGAAGAAGACAATTCAATATTTTCTACCCCAATTATGCGCTAGAGGTCTATACCTATACTTTTTACTTTGTTGACTTCTAAAAATAAAACTTCGACTCAGACTAGATGCGCCAGGCGGTGTGGTCCAATTCTCGCACATAATTGGTCCGTTTTCGGGGGCTTGGCCGTCATGTGACTCGACTCGACTACAGCGCAGCGAGTACACATGTTTACGTGTGTAAAAGTACGTCATGCTGCAGCGCATGCAGTCAATGGCAATATTTTCGGTGCTTTTCCATGTAGTAACGTAACTCGCGGTGAAAGTGCGAATGTTGTTACTGTGAATTCCGTAGAGTGGGACATAATTCCGGTGCTGTATCAGGAATTATTCAATCTGTAAAGGAAACAGTATTCTTTCGAACGAGATTATTACTTTGGTAAGCTTTTCGTGATTATATTATGAAGTCTTGAAAGGGAAATACAGACTCTAGACTCAATACTTTGTTACTTTATTTTTTGGGGTTTAGTCCGCCCGGTGTCCGACTCAGCTCCGTCGCTCAGGCTCAGCGCGCGCCGGCCGGTGAGCTCGCGCTCGGTGCATACATGCTTTTTTTGATTGAGTTTTTGATAATGAAGCTGACTGCTGAAGCTGAAATTATTCGACTTAAGTTTATTAAATGATTTTGTGTACTTACCCGTAATGGTTGCTTTTAAGTTTTATATTAATCACGTTATTGCAAAGATTATGCATGCCCAAAGTCATAAAAATTTGAGTAAGTTTTTACTAAGAACAATGTCATTTTTGAGAAAAGAAAATATAATTTATGAATATAAATATGATGGTACCAGGAAGTAGATTCTAGATCATAAAATGTTTTCATGTTGACTTTGCATTTCTCAAAAATGACATGCCGGTGCAGTGCTCTAAGTCTTAGGCTTAAGCTTCAAATTGTGGGTGCAAAGCAGAGTCTATCGTTTGACATGAAACAGATGGCTATAATAATAAAATGATAAAGCCAAAAGGTTTTGGAGATTTTAGATCTAGATCTATCATCTAGATTGATGTACATGAATAAGCTCGAAATATAAGATGACATTTTGAGGCTTGTTTTGAATGAACACTATATTCACGGATCTTCCTCATAAAATTCAATTATAGATTGATAAATGAACTCCAATTGAAAGGGAATTAGCCAAAAGTGTAAGCTGTCGCAAAAAGGAAGTCATCCTGTAAGCTGTGAAAAAAGAAAAAAGATGGAAGAACAAATAAAGATCGCAACATTTAAGTTGTAGAGGTAGAAATATCATAATAATCTGCATACTTATTATATGACCATGATGACTGGAGGTTTTTTGAGGTGATCCGTCTGCAAATCATGAAAATCCAGAAATGCCTTGAGGCCTACAAAGTACATGTACAAACACAATTTAGATCTATCATCTAGGTCTAACCTCTATATATGTCAAATCTGTTTATCGAGGTACATGCATACCTGCCAACCTGAGACAAGAGAAATTAGGAGTAAATTTTTCTGGATGGACTACGAGGTCGCGAACCACCGAAGGATTGGGGTAGTAGCCCGTAGATTGGGGGGGGGGGGGGGGGTAACTAACGATCACGTTCGGGCTGCGCTGTGTATATCTTCTATGAGCGCAAGCGCGGATGTCGGCGTGATCTGGTTATCAGTGCTGTGTTATGCTTTAGTCTTATACATACATACATACATATTGGTATTTATTGAGCGCCTTCACATGAACGTGCTCAAGGCGCTTTACATTTCGAAATACAAACATAATAGTTATATACTCTCCAAGTGCATTACACTAAAAAAAAAATTAAATTAAACAAAATCGGAGTTTTGAGGCATGCATTCGGAATTCGGAGTTGGTATGAAAAATGCGGAGGAACTCCGCCTAAATCGGGGTGGTTGGCAGGTATGTACATGTAACCCAAGGGAAATAGAGAGAGTGGCCACTGTGGATAGGTGGCCTTTCTAGACAGGTTCTACAAAAAAAAAAAAAAATTTGAGGGAGACAAACACATGGCCACTTTAGACAGATGATGGCCTTAATGGGGAAATGAAAGACAAATTTGTCTGAACACATTTAGTCCATTCATTAAAACCAAAAAGAGAAAGAATACCTACATTGTAGTAGGTTAGTACCATGGTTTCCCATTACCAGAACTCAAACTTTTTTGTTTATATACTTACTGCCTTACTGTCTATACAAATATATACATGTAGGTACCGCGTGCATGTACTATACACATCCTTTTCAATTTTCATCACTTATTCCCTGTAATAGAAAACAGGATGTTGTTAAATTAATTGATCTCAGACTTGGTCTTATTTAAACAATGTGGTGTATGACTGATACCTGTATGATGAGTATGATGTTGATTACATGTATGTTGTTGAAAAGGTTAATATGTGAAGGTTAATATGTGAAGGTTACAATGTATGTATGAAGGAGAGTCCGATGTCTGTACCCTCAACTTTTCACTTGAAATTGACAAGAATTTACCCTTTTGCTAATCTCATCCACTTATTCCTTAAATTCTAGAGTGTACCGGTAAGAATGTCCTGAAAATCTCATCAAATTTTGAGTACCGTAAGAAGAATGTTATTTTCACAAGAAAATTTGGCGGTGTCAATTCCAAGATATCTTGGGATAGTTTGCAAAATATCCCACTATTTGGCAAAATATCCAGCTATTTGTCCCGTGCATCTTCACTAGACCAAAGATTCGCAATACGCGCTAACGCTGAGCAAAATATCTCGAGCTAATTTCTCAAGGTCGAGTTACAAGTTTCGAGGTCGAATCTCGAGCTGATGAAGACGCAATTTGTAACTTCGGGATTATTTCCCAAATCAGAAATAGCGGGCTATTTGGCAATCTCGAGATGATGAAGACGCGCCTTTAAGATATCAGATGCATGAGTAGAAAGGCCTTTTCTACAGTCTACACACACTGCATCCATTTTTTTTGCATGATCGTATTGCATTAGATTTCAGGAATTTTATTTTATCTTTTAAAACCTTAAATTGGAAACACAGAGAGGTTCAAATTCATTGCTTTACATTAAAATTTGGCCACTTCAATTTTTTCACAAAGTTTAAACCGCATGCAGAGATTAGAATTCATTTCAACGGTACGTACATGTAGCACTACTGGTAAACGATAACAAAATGTTGTTGCCAATTTGAAGAGCAACATGTAATCAAATAAATCCTGTCCTGAAGGTTATAATGTCATGCTCAAGTTGGGAAATCCACAGGATGAAGAAAGTCCTGGTTGTGGTTGAGTTTCAAAGTGAAACAGGACTCTTAATCCTTCCGCACAGTTTCAATTGTATATTGTACAGTATACTAACAGCATTACTTCTCCAATCATTTATGAGATGAATTTTTATTTATTTCCACATTTCCATTGAAATGTTAATTGGTTTTATAATAACAAATGGATTCAGAAATACCTGATATTGTATTAAACAAACATTTTCTATTCATTTAACATTCATAAAATGAAATGCATTTCAGTCTAATGTACATGTAGTAAATAGTTTAAAGGTAAAGACCAGTTATGGTCATGCAATTGCATTGTGAAAGAAACGTTGTGGAATCGATCAGAAAAGGTTGATCATCTAGCATCTAGCGTCTGCAAGGTTCTGGAATCATCAAAATGATAAGAAATTTGGCCCATTCTTCGTAAAGTTACAAGCACTATACACAGAAAGATGTATATGGGACTACCCTATATCTCTCACAGACCATGGGAGAAACAAATTTACCAAATATATGAATTAGTAGGCGGTTTCCCGGCAAATTTTTTATCATCATGTATTAGTCAAAACATATTCTTTCACATGATTGGTAATGAGAGCTTCCATTTCATTTTTTGAAATTGGGGCGTTTCCAATACTGGTCTTTACTTTTAAGCTCACATCAGCACAGATATGTAACTCTAAGTACATTGTAAAGAGACAGACCTTCAAAGCGAGGCCTACTTTGTATGAACCTGTATGGAAAGTCAAGGTCAACCGGCGAAGTGACATTATCCACTTCATGCACCTGTACAATGTTTATTGTACAGGTCAAAGAAACTAACTGTTCATTGCCTAATCCAGCATTGCATGTTTTAGGGGCGTTCAAGCAACACTTTTTTCACCCTAGGAACACGGTTTTCAAAGACTTTTAGTTTAAGAGATGGTTGCGTTCAAGCGATTTTAAGCAATTTTTAGTCAGTCGTAAAAACAAACGTGTTACATGAAACGCTGAAAAAGATGTGTTTTGTATCGTGATTCAGAAAGCATGTGACGAAGTTAACCTATATTTCCTTAGGTCAAACTGCGCAGTGTGATGAGCAGTGGCTGGGCTTGAGACGAGCGAGAATCAGCATTGATGAAAAATCGCTTGAACGCTCTCCTGCAGTAATCTTGCTTTTTAACGGCGTTTTAATTTGTGATTCAAGCTTTTAAAAAAATCGCTTGAACGCACCCTTGGTATACCAGGGAGTTCCAACTCCCTGGTATATACACTGTAGCTGACACCTCCTTTACCCCCCAGGGAGACTCACAATGCACACATTTCTACAGCCTTTGTATACCGGTATGTTTCTTCTTAGTAAATGTGAAATGAATAACCTTCAAAAAAGGCTTCAAAGTTCAATCAATAACCGTACCCAGAAAGGAATACACTATAGTGTAGTAGTACAGTAGATCTTACTGTATATAGCGCTTTTCAGGACCAAAGGCCCTCTCAAAGCGCTTTACAAATAGATTACCCCGGTCATCGGATTCAGGCTTACACGCACGCGATGTATGCACATTCTCCACTCCCTGGGGAGCATTCCAGCCAAGCGTCATTTTTACAAGCGCACACTTGCTAATCCCAGCACATTAGATTTCACATCCTTTCGGTTACCCATTTAACACCTGGGTGGAGAGTGGCAAATGTACATTGCAGATCAATGTCTTGCCAAAGGACATTAGTGCTGCAGTGGGACTTGAACCGCGGACTGTGTAGGCTGTAGCCTCAGCTTATGATTCATTTGTGTAGTACTGTAAAAAGGGGCATTCTCCTGATTTATCTCTTTCTTTTCCTCCCCTCTCGCTCATCTCTTTTTTCTCTCTCGTTTTCACTTTCTCCTCCTGTCTCTCTCCCTCTCTCTCTCCATTACTTTTTTCTTGTAAAATGTACATGTGCATGTATGAGTAAACTTGTACTGTAAAGTAACATACCTGCCAACCACCCCGATTTAGGCGGAGTTTCTCCGCATTTTTCATACCAACTCCGAATTCCGAGTGCATGCCTCAAAACTCAGAGTTTTTAAAATTTTAATTTATTTTTATTTTTTTTAATAATTTTTTTAAAATTAATATTTTGTGTGTGCGTCCGCCATTTTCAATGGCAAAATGTCCATTCTGTCCTGTAAAGTATCCTACAAGCATCTCACATCAGCAATTTGGGGATGTTTATTCATACCTGCGTATAACCCACGTGTATTTATATTACATGTGCAGTTGATACGCCGTGCATAAACACTGTATACATTGGCGTGTTTTCTTCAATGCTTGTGTGATGACTGCGATCGTGAAAGCTTGTTATTTACCGGACTTCCTCAGATTTATTTTGGATTACTACTACTATATACCTTTGCAAAATAGGGCTCCTAACTGAGGTGGGTAGTGAAACATGTAGTTTTGTGAGTGTTCACATTTCAAAAATTGTTTATGTGTGGGGCGAAAAGGTTGAAGGAAAAGGCCCATTTGCACCATTAAAATGGAGAGAAAAAAAATAGACCCTAAAGTCCTGTGTACCCCCCCCCCCCCCAATCTACGGGCTACTACCCCAATCCTTCGGTGGTTCGCGACCTCGTAGTCCATCCAGAAAAATTTACTCCTAATTTCTCTTGTCTCAGGTTGGTAGGTATATGAAGTAAGGATTGAATAAATGTCTACAGAATTTTAAAGAACTATCTTCGGTAGAGAGATGCTTTCACCTTCCTATATTATACCCTAGGTATTAAACCATACAATACACACATTTCTATACATGTAGGCCATTGTATCTTATTACATGTGAAAGTTAAAGATCCAGAGAGGGATTATACTAGGCTGTACACACTATGAATATGACGGACAAAGAAAGCGGACAAAATATACAGTTCCTCAGGTAGACAAAGGAACATCCCTTCACTGCTATTATGTAAAAATGTGTCACAAGCATATTCACCTGTTCTACACATGTTTACATACATGTAATAGCAGTGAAGGGATGTTCCTTTATCTACCCGAGGAACTGTATATTTTGTCCGCTTTCTTTGTCAGTCATGTTCATAGTGACATGTATGTACCTTGCTTCTGCTGAGGAGTTGTTTGGTTTTTGTAGTTCATTGTACTTTACAACAGCTTGTATTATGAGTAAACTTGTATAAAGCAAGGATTGATCTTTGAACAAATGGATATAAGCACTATCTTCTAGAGGGATGATAAACTTGTGTATTTGGTAAATGCATTTACTATCAAATACAGATTACAGTAATACAGATGTATACATGTATGTACACAAAGTCTTGAACAGTGTAGACACCAAGTAAACAGATCTACACTGTACATGTGTACATGCTGAATGGGATTGAGTATAATCTGCTTCCTAGACTACTTGCAATAGTCCTCATACATGTACTTGAAAAATAAACTGTAAAATAACAACAAAATTCTACTACATGTACTACAACTAATAATAATAAAATGGTAGTTTTCTCTTTTATTCCATTGCCTAGTAGAACTTGGTGTTCCCTGTAAATACATTTTGTATAAAGTCTATATATACAGTACATGTAGCAAAGAGAGATTTCCTTTAGTCAGCAGGTTTGAGGCCATCTCCAAAACAAATTAATTATGAACCCTTTCAAGTTTCAGAACAACAATTTTTATTAGGGCTGAAATGATCTCATATTCTTCAAATTGGCAACAATGATATTTTTTTTTTGATGCTGCATTGTTCTAATGAAATGAAGTGTCTCTGAAAACATTATACACAAGTTTTCATTTTGTTGAAAAGCTGAAAAAGTGGACAATTTTTATGGAAAACAATGCTTTTGAACCTACACTGTGTACATGTATTAACATTTGCCAATGTCAAGATTTTAAGGCCTTTTATTTTTCTTCTCAAAATTCCTTGTGTCAAACGCAATGTGATAACTGAATAAAAATGAGCACAGTGTGTGCAGAAATTTTTGCTCTTCCTTTTCATGCATTTGGTACCGGTATATATTTTTTATTGCTCTGAATTAAAGTTTGAGAGCCTAACCACAAAATGTGGGCCGGATGCTTGTCCAGACGGAGTTCAGCGGACAAAAGACAGAGAAATGAAAGTCTACGTAATGATTTAACCCAACTTTTAAAGATACCTTAACTTTCATTCGCACAAAACATTTGCAAATTTAGCAAGTGGTTTGAATTCTTGAAAAATCTTACATGTATGCTGCAACATTTATTAATAAATCATAACAATTGACACAAAGCCAAATTTTTGCCATTAACAACTCATTTTCTTGCCATGAAAATTTCTATATCATTTACATAATTTACACATTTTGAAAAATTCATCTTGTAAATGCCTCTGATTTTAATACAGTACATGTATGTTTACCGGTACTAAATTTCCTTCCAGATACCCCTATTACAGCATGACATCAACAATGTGGAGGTCAACGTTGCGAACGTTTGCCAAAAAGATTCTCCACACCAGCAGTGTGAGGGCGCCCCAGATCCGCTTCCTTTCGGTGACAACGTCTTACTGTCAATCCTACTCTCCCATCGGTAGTCTAGACCAACCCAGAATCCTCATTACGGGTGAGTAACAATTATTAATATTGACTTGTATTTTGTTAAGGCAGGCCTGATAAAAACCTGATTTAAATCGGTTTCCCGATTTTTTTAAATTTTTTTTTACCAATTTTTTTTTCTTCTCTATTTTATTCTGATTTTCCCGATTTCCCTCATATTTTCTCTATTCTTTCCAATCTTGCCCTATTTTTTCCCCAATCTTGCCCTATTTTTTCCCCAATTTTCTTACTCGAAAGGGGGGAATGTCAAATGCCATTTTTTCCCTGCGAATCCTCTTCTTTTTTTTACTCAAGGGGGGCGTGGTTGAGGGGAAAACAAAAAACCTATTTTTTTTTTAGTGCTCACTATCACCCCTGTAAAGGCTTTTTCAGATATGACAGGGTATGCCACATTCAACAAAATAAAAAACACCTTTTTTTTAAAATGTGGAAATGCACAGCAACTGCAGGCAACAAAGGTCGGCTCGCCTAAGTATATGAGGGGATGGGCCGTGCTTAATTAATGCAAAGTCATTGTATATATGGATACTTCACATAAAATGATGTCATCAAGTCGAAAGCTAGTTAATAGGTCGACAACTTCCCATTCTCAAAGCTTTAGATTTTGAGTTTTCAGAGAGCTGTTAGCAGGTTGTCCTCTGACAGACACTGAAATAGTATATACCGTAATTGACATGATTGTAATCTATGGCATATGAGCTTTCCGTTGTTCTATAATTCATCTACATGTATTTCATATTTCATTTCTGACAGCTAGAGTCTTTCAGAATTCTAGACCCATTCATATTACATATATCTCACTTCCAGATCTTTTGCTATGTACAATAATTACATTCCGCTGTTATGAACAAGCTTTATACTGTCTGATCCTTCCCTTTAATTGCATCCACTTTGATTTATTTTCCAGGTGGTCTTGGACAGCTAGGCCAGGGGCTAGCCAAGGTGCTCAGAAAGAGATACGGGCGTGACAATGTCATTCTGACGGACATCGTTAAACCTCCCAGGCATATCGTTGATGCAGGTTTGTAAATTGTGAATTCAAGGGGCGGAATCGATCAAGCAATAAGTACACTTCATGATGGTATATTGTACCCTTAACATTGATGCCCCATTTGTAATGATTATGTAATCATGGAATGCTGTACACCTGAATATGGGGCCAAGTCAAAGGTGAAATATTACAAAATGCATTGCTATCAACTCCCTCGATATAATTAAACACAAATCCATCTTCCAAACACAGGAAAAATTCACTTTTCACAATAACAAGGCAAGTTTTCACTTTCACAATGATACCAAATTCAAGTATGATAATACAGCAACGAGAGAGATATCAATGCTCAAACTTGTATTGCACAACTTTTTTGACGAATTTATTTTCTCTGAGACTGCACCCCTAAGAAAATTGGGTGAACTGCCGTTGGTTTACAACCAGTTGGTCTACTCCCCAATTAGTCTTTTCCCATATGGTCTACACCCACCCGTCTACTATCCACATGGTCTAATAATCAGTTTAAAAAATAAAAAAAATGTTTATTAATCAAATAATACTTACTGGTACATAAAAAACACATAATTATAATGAATACAAAGAAAAACACATAAATTATACTTATATAACAAAATTTATTGTACGTTTTTTTCTTCTACTTTATCATTTGGTCTACTTATCATGTGGTCTAATGACCATTTAGCCTAATAGCTATTTGGTCTAATCTCCAATAAGTCTATTACCCATTTTGGAATAAACAGCAATAAACTGAAAATTGTACCATTCTAGTCACTTCAGAGAATCCATCAATTTCAACCGAAGCCTCTCAGTGTATGATATATTCATTATAGGTAAAGACCAGTTATGGTCATGCGATTGCATTGTGAAAGAAACGTTGTAGAATCGATCAGAAAAGGTTGATCATCTAGCATCTAGCATCTGTAAGGTTCTGGAATCATCAAAATGATAAGTAATTTGGCCCATTCTTCGTAAAGTTACAAGCACTATACACAGAAAGATGTATATGGGACTACCCTATATCTCTCACAGACCATGAGAGAAACAAATTTACCAAATTATATGAATTAGTAGGCGGTTTCCCGGCAATTTTTTTATCATCATGTATTAGTCAAAACATATTCTCTCACATGATTGGTAATGAGAGCTTCCATTTCATTTTTTTTTAAATTGGGGCGTTTCCAATACTGGTCTTTACTACATGTACCTGCGCTGGCCATTTGATCATAAATTGATGTCGTGTGCAATGTTTGTTTTTGCAGGTCCATATGCTTTTGTTGATGTGCTGGACTTCAGGAACCTTCAGGAGATTATTGTCAATGAGAGTATAGACTGGATGGTCCATTTTAGTGCAGTTCTTAGTGCTGTTGGTGAACAGGTATGGATATCATAATGAATATTGTGTGAATATCACATAAATATGTCACCTGAATATGATTATGACATGTACATGTATGACATTTTTATGAAATTTGTATAAATAAACTTTAAATTCTGTTCAAATAATTATGTTTACTTCTAACACTATGTACATTAAATACATGTAAAGTATGTAGTTTTGCATCAAATGTCAGATTTATGTTATCATATATTCTTCAAGGAGATTCTTAAAGCCTGTCTGTCCTAGTTTGGCCAGGAGGGATTAGACCACCCAGCGTGGTCACTGACAGGTGGCTATCTCATCAACTCAGCTCTCAATTAACATAAGGAAAAGAGGATCATGAGGGACCAACAGGCACCACTTAGGCATTGTTTCCTATATAGAGGGAGCAATTAGCTACAAGTTGTACGGTGAGGCTTTAAAAGCGTACATGTTTGTCCAATTATTTTTTTCTTTCTATCATCTAATGGCAATTCTAGAATGTCCCACTGGCCATCAAAGTCAACATCCAGGGGCTTCACAACGTGATGGAGCTGGCCAAGATGTACAACCTCCGCATCTTCTGTCCCAGTACCATCGGAGCGTTCGGACCCCAGTCACCCCGCGAGCTGACCCCCGACCTCACGATCCAGAGGCCCAGGACAATCTATGGTGTGGCCAAGGTTCATGCCGAACTCCTTGGAGAGGTAAGGGGGTTCTTTTTTTATGCCTCCGCCACCGAAGGTGGTGCCGGAGGCATCATGTTTTCGGGTTGTCCGTCCGTACGTCCGTACGTCCGTCCCGTTTGACCGTTATCACAATATCTCAAGAACCATTTAAGATTTAAACTTAAGACTCGGGAATAGTATTTATCACCATAGGAAGACGATCTGATTAGATTTTGGAGTACGTAGGTCAAAGGTCACAGGTCACAGAGGTCAACTTATGAAATTCCTTGTATTGAGTTTGTTAGCGCGATATCTCAAGAACCATTTGAGATTTAAACTTCAAACTTAGGGATAGTATGTATCACCATAGGAAGACGATCTGATTAGATTTTGGAGCACGTATGTCAAAGGTCAAGGGTCACAGAGGTCAACTTATGAAATTCCATACATTGAGATTGGTATCATGATATCTCAAGAACCACTGGAGATTTAAACTTCAAACTTAGTGATAGTGTGTATCACTACAGGAAAACAATCTGATTACATTTTGGAGCACGTAGGTCAAAGGTCAAGGGTCATAGAGGTCAACTTATGAAATTCCATACATTGAGATTGTTATCATGATATCTCAAGAACCACTGGAGATGTAAAAACTTCAAACTTAAGGATAGTATGTATCACCATAGGAAGACGATCTGATTAGATTTTGGAGCACGTAGGTCAAAGGTCAAGGGTCACAGAGGTCAACTTATGAAATTCCATACATTGAGATTGTTATCATAATATCTCAAGAACCACTGGAGATTTAAACTTCAAACTTAATGATAGTGTGTATCACCATAGGAAGACAATCTGATTAGATTTTGGAGCACGTAGGTCAAAGGTCAAGGGTCACAGAGGTCAATTTATGAAATTCCATACATTGAGATCGTTATCGCGATATCTCAAGAACCACTGGAGAATTTTCACTTCAAACTTAATGATAGTATGTATCACCATATCATAATATCTCAAGAAACACTGGAGATTTAAACTTCAAAGTTAATGATAGTGTGTATCACCATAGGAAGACAATCTGATTAGATTTTGGAGCACGTAGGTCAAAGGTCAAGGGTCACAGACGTCAACTTATGAAATTCCATACATTGAGATTGTTATCATGATATCTCAAGAACCACTGGAGATTTAAACTCCAAACTTGTTTAAATTGCTCTATGGCGGAGGCATCATTTTCGACTGCGCGCAGTCAAAATTCCATCTAGTTTTTTAATTGGCTACTTTCCCCATAATGAATGTACATACATGCGATTAGATGGATCCTGAACCCTATATCCCTTTGAAAGGGGCGTAGGGGCAAATATTGTAAAAATTTGAATTATCACAACTTTCGGGCCGAAGTTGTAAGGGCCGGGGTGGTTCAGCATTTTGGAGGAAAAAATTATATTTTTTTGAATAGGCTAGTTTCCCCACAATGAATGTACATCCATGCCATTAGATGGATCCTGACCCCCAAATCCCTTTGAAAGGGGCGAAGTGGAAAATATTGAAAAATTTGAGTTATCGCAACTTTCGGGCTGAAATGGTAAGGGCCGGGGTGGTTCAGCATTTTGGAGGAAAATATTTTTTTTTTTTAATTGGCTAGTTTCCCCATAATGAATGTACATACATGCGATTAGATGGATCCTGAACCCTATATCCCTTTGAAAGTGGCGTAGTGGCAAATATTGAAAAATTTGAGTGATCACAACTTTCGGGCCGAAATGGTAAGGGCCGGGGTGGTTCAGCATTTTGGAGGAAAATATATATTTTTTTTAATTGGCTAGTTTCCCCATAATGAATGTACATACATGCGATTAGATGGATCCTGAACCCTATATCCCTTTGAAAGGGGCGTAGGGGCAAATATTGTAAAAATTTGAATTATCACAACTTTCGGGCCGAAGTTGTAAGGGCCGGGGCGGTTCAGCATTTTGGAGGAAAAAATTATATTTTTTTTAATAGGCTAGTTTCCCCATAATGAATGTACATACATGCGATTAGATGGATCCTGAACCCTATATCCCTTTGAAAGGGGCGTAGGGGCAAATATTGTAAAAATTTGAATTATCACAACTTTCGGGCCGAAGTTGTAAGGGCCGGGGCGGTTCAGCATTTTGGAGGAAAAAATTATATTTTTTTTAATAGGCTAGTTTCCCCATAATGAATGTACATACATGCGATTAGATGGATCCTGAACCCTATGTCCCTTTGAAAGGGGCGAAGGGGCAAATAATGTAAAAATTTGAATTATCAAAACTTTCGGGCCGAAGTTGTAAGGGCCGGGGTGGTTCAGCATTTTGGAGGAAAAAATTATATTTTTTTGAATAGGCTAGTTTCCCCACAATGAATGTACATACATGTACATGCCATTAGATGGATCCTGACCCCCATATCCCTTTGAAAGGGGCGTAGGGGCAAATATTGTAAAAATTTGAATTATCACAACTTTCGGGCCGAAGTTGTAAGGGCCGGGGTGGTTCAGCATTTTGGAGGAAAATTGTTTATTTTTTGAATAGGCTAGTTTCCCCATAATGAATGTACATACATGCGATACGATGGATCCAGACCTCCATTTCCCTTTTGAAGGGGCGTAGTGGCAAATATTGTAAAAATTTGAAATATCACAACTTTCGGGCCGAAATGGTAAGGGCCGGGGTGGTTCAGAATTTTGGGGGAAAATATTATATTTTTTGAATAGGCTAGTTTCCCCATAATGAATGTACATACATGCCATTAGATGGATCCTGACCCCCATATCCCTTTGACAGGGGGGTAGGGGCAAATATTGTAAAAATTTTAATTATCACAACTTTTCGGGCCGAAGTTGTAAGGGCCGGGGTGGTTCAGCATTTTGGAGGAAAAAATTAAATTTTTTTAATTGGCTAGTTTCCCCACAATGAATGTACATACATGCCATTAGATGGATTCTAACGCCTACATGTATATCCCTTTGACAGGGGGGAAGGGGCAAATAAGGTAAAAATTTGAATTATCACCACTTTTCGGGCCGAAGTTGTAAGGGCCGGGGTGGTTCAGCATTTTGGAGGAAATTTTTTTATTTTTTGAATAGGCTAGTTTCCCCATAATGAATGTACATACATGCGATTAGATGGATCCTGAACCCTATATCCCTTTAAAAGGGGCGTAGGGGCAAATATTGTAAAAATTTGAATTATCACAACTTTCGGGCCGAAGTTGTAAGGGCCGGGGTGGTTCAGCATTTTGGAGGAAAAAATTATATTTTTTTGAATAGGCTAGTTTCCCCACAATGAATGTACATACATGCCATTAGATGGATCCTGACCCCCAAATCCCTTTGAAAGGGGCGAAGTGGAAAATATTGAAAAATTTGAGTTATCGCAACTTTCGGGCTGAAATGGTAAGGGCCGGGGTGGTTCAGCATTTTGGAGGAAAATATTTTTTTTTTTAATTGGCTAGTTTCCCCATAATGAATGTACATACATGCGATTAGATGGATCCTGAACCCTATATCCCTTTGAAAGTGGCGTAGTGGCAAATATTGAAAAATTTGAGTGATCACAACTTTCGGGCCGAAATGGTAAGGGCCGGGGTGGTTCAGCATTTTGGAGGAAAATATATATTTTTTTTAATTGGCTAGTTTCCCCATAATGAATGTACATACATGCGATTAGATGGATCCTGAACCCTATATCCCTTTGAAAGGGGCGTAGGGGCAAATATTGTAAAAATTTGAATTATCACAACTTTCGGGCCGAAGTTGTAAGGGCCGGGGCGGTTCAGCATTTTGGAGGAAAAAATTATATTTTTTTTAATAGGCTAGTTTCCCCATAATGAATGTACATACATGCGATTAGATGGATCCTGAACCCTATATCCCTTTGAAAGGGGCGTAGGGGCAAATATTGTAAAAATTTGAATTATCACAACTTTCGGGCCGAAGTTGTAAGGGCCGGGGCGGTTCAGCATTTTGGAGGAAAAAATTATATTTTTTTTAATAGGCTAGTTTCCCCATAATGAATGTACATACATGCGATTAGATGGATCCTGAACCCTATGTCCCTTTGAAAGGGGCGAAGGGGCAAATAATGTAAAAATTTGAATTATCAAAACTTTCGGGCCGAAGTTGTAAGGGCCGGGGTGGTTCAGCATTTTGGAGGAAAAAATTATATTTTTTTGAATAGGCTAGTTTCCCCACAATGAATGTACATACATGTACATGCCATTAGATGGATCCTGACCCCCATATCCCTTTGAAAGGGGCGTAGGGGCAAATATTGTAAAAATTTGAATTATCACAACTTTCGGGCCGAAGTTGTAAGGGCCGGGGTGGTTCAGCATTTTGGAGGAAAATTGTTTATTTTTTGAATAGGCTAGTTTCCCCATAATGAATGTACATACATGCGATACGATGGATCCAGACCTCCATTTCCCTTTGAAGGGGCGTAGTGGCAAATATTGTAAAAATTTGAAATATCACAACTTTCGGGCCGAAATGGTAAGGGCCGGGGTGGTTCAGAATTTTGGGGGAAAATATTATATTTTTTGAATAGGCTAGTTTCCCCATAATGAATGTACATACATGCCATTAGATGGATCCTGACCCCCATATCCCTTTGACAGGGGGGTAGGGGCAAATATTGTAAAAATTTTAATTATCACAACTTTTCGGGCCGAAGTTGTAAGGGCCGGGGTGGTTCAGCATTTTGGAGGAAAAAATTAAATTTTTTTAATTGGCTAGTTTCCCCACAATGAATGTACATACATGCCATTAGATGGATTCTAACGCCTATATCCCTTTGACAGGGGGGAAGGGGCAAATAGGTAAAAATTTGAATTATCACCACTTTTCGGGCCGAAGTTGTAAGGGCCGGGGTGGTTCAGCATTTTGGAGGAAATTTTTTTATTTTTTGAATAGGCTAGTTTCCCCATAATGAATGTACATACATGCGATTAGATGGATCCTGAACCCTATATCCCTTTAAAAGGGGCGTAGGGGCAAATATTGTAAAAATTTGAAT